GTCTGCAGGGAGGACAGTTAGGGGGGACACAGGTCTGCAGGGGAGGGCAGTTGGGGGCAACCCAGCCAACAGGGGAGGACAGTTAAGGTTGACTAGGCTGGCAGGGGAGGACAGTTAGGGTGACAAGGCCTGCAGGGGAGGTCAGTTAGGGGCAATTGGGCCAGCAGAGGAGCAGTTAGACATCGATCAGGCTGGCAGGGTAGCAGGTAGGGGCAATCAGGCAGGCAGGCAAGGCAAACGGTTGGGAGCCAGTAGTCCTGGATTGTGAGAGGGATGTCCCAGATTTGGGAGGGTGCAGGCTGGGCTGAGGGACAACACCCCCTAACCCCCATGCATGAATTTTGTGCACCTGGCCTCTAGTAATAACGTATGAAATGCCTAACACATGAAAGTAGTACTTAAAGGATTATAAAATGAATACCTTGTGTGACCTGGTCTAGATAAAGAAATAGAAAACTGTCTACACCTCTGGAGCGTTTTAATTTACAACTCCTTCCACACGCTCTGTGGTGACCACTTTTCTGATCATAACGGTATTCACGTTGTCTTCATAACTGTAACCTTTGTATTCATAAGCAATAAGTAAACTTGTGCTTATTTTTTGGAACTCTCCCTTAATGTTTTTAGATATCTGAAATTTTGTACTACCCCAGGAGCAGCCCTGAAGAGGAAGATCCACAGAGGGGTGTGTGGGAAGTGAAAGGGCAAGGATTCTATGCATCTTGTCTTAGTGAAGTTTGAGGAACTTCAGCCTTAGTATTATTAGGTGAACTTGAGATCTTTTTTGTACCAGGTGATGGAGCTATATCTTCACTGTTGCTAGGATTCCGGATCTAGCTCTGTGTTTGTTTCTTTGAAGTGCTGCTTCTTATGCACTTACTTGCTGTGATCAGGGCATAGACCTGCTTGGAAGTCTCCTTCTATGCTCATTCTGATTCTACTCGTGTTCCTCTGCTTGACATTTTTTAACTGTGTGTGTGTTGCAAAAAAAGAGAAGATTTTCCTAAATTTCTGCTCTTATTTTCTCTTTCCAAATCTGTAAAAGCTTTGGAGTTTAATTTAGGACTTTATTTATAAATTAGTGAATTCCTGCACATTAAAGGAAATGATTAGAAGAAATATTTTAATATCGCCATTCGCCTTTTCTCTATAACAGAAGTGTCAGAGATGAACGAATTTGTAAAATGCACATGAAAATAATATGTAAATTGGCTAAATAAAAAACAATAACAACATGATGTAACAACGAATATTTTCCACGAAATTTTTACTGTCAGAATCTTTATCATTAATTTTTAAAAATATGTCAGGTGTTCTGGAAAATTTATATCCTTTGGACAAACTTTGCCTTTGCTACAACAACAAGTAAATTTTCCATCAGATGGGTTTTCATCGGAGAAATTTGGGGATAGGCAGAATTGACATGTCATTCCACCACAACTGTGTTCGATAATTGTATCCTCATTTACCTCATGTTTGCTATGAAGGCAGTTCCTACCAGTACTGGTAGTACTTGTCAATGTCTGTTCTTCAGGTATATTCTGTTGACGACGTCACTTTCTTTTGGCTTCAAGATATGTTTTGGCAATAGTTGGTTTTCAGACACATTCTGTCAACAATTTCAGCTTCATAATGTCAACAAAAGCGTGATGTCTTTACCTGGCACCCACAGTCATTGTTTGTGGGCTGGGCTGAGCTGGGCTGTGGCTCGTATTTTGCGCCATGGAGTCTTAGCAGCATTGGCTGTGATTTGGTGGGCTGTCGCTCTGGGGTGGTGGTGGGGCCTGTGTCCCACTTGGGGGAAGCCTAGTGTTGCTTTGTCAATGTCAGGTCCTCAGTGCCATTTCTCTGTGTAGGACACAGCAGCTCCTGCATTGAGCGTCTGTCTCCTGGTGGTCAGTACGTGTCAAAGCGGCCGGTTGGACAGTGGGAAGAACACTACATATTAGCCTTTTATATATAGACTAGGGGCCCAGTGCATGAATCCATGCACGGGTGGGGTCCCTCTAGGTGGCTTGTGAGGATTGGGCCGAAACTTGCAATCCAACGCTGCCTACAGCTTCTTCCTGCCGCTCCCTCTCATCGTGGCCCCACTGCCTGCCGTGGGCTCGCACCCAATCAGTCCTGATTGGAAGAGGCTCATGTGGCCACAGCAGCACTTGCCAGCCATGAGTCCTGCATCTGGCAGAGTGGTCTGGGGGATCGAGCTGAAACTGGCTCTCCAACATCTCCCGGGGTGGGGGGTGGGGGGTCCTGGATTGGGATAGGGCACAGGCTAGGCTGAAGGGACCCCCTGGTGGTCAGTGCATATCATAGCAAGTGCTTGAGCAACCTTATCATGTCATTAGCATATTATACCTTGTTTTGTTGTTCTGTTGTTCTGCCATTCGGTCTATTTGCATATTACCCTTTTATTGTATAGGTTGCTTTTACCTCTTTCCCATTTAGGGACCTCTGAAGCTTGAGCAAAAAAAAAAAAAAATTGCTGTTTTTACTTTCTTTTTTGTGTCAACTATTTTCATTTTCTATAAACATAAGTAGAAATGATATTATGGTATATAGATCATGCCTGATTTAAAAACACACACAAAATTATTTTGTATAAGAAGACCATTTAAATAATTTCTAGTTAAGTTTTCTAGTTAACTTTGGTAGTTAAGTTACTTTTAACATTTGTGATGTTACTTACATCACCACCTAGTATACATACGACTATACTAGATGCTTAATGCATGAAATTCGTGCACTCTGAGGGTGTCCCTCAGCCTGGCCTGTGCCCTCGCAGTTCAGGAGCCCTCTGGGGATGTCTGACTGACAGCTTAGGCCTGCTCCCTGATGTCAATGGGGTGTTAAAGTCCCCTACTATGACTGTGTTGCTGGAGTGGGCCTAAGCTGTCAGCTGGACATCCTTAGCACTGCTGCAGAGGCAGGAGAGGCTTGTGCCACTGCCGCTGCACTCACCAGTTGTGAGCCCGCCTCAGGGCTTCTGGCTGACCGTGTTTCCCCTGAGGTAGCGCACTGACCACCAGGGGACAGCTCCTGCATTGAGTGTCTTCCCCCTGGTGGTCAGTGCACGTCATAGCAATCAGTTGTTCCCCAATTCAGTCGATTTGCCTATTACCCTTTTACTATATAGGATGTATGTGTGCTGAAATTTCAGTATGTACAGTTATTATGATATCGTTTATTCTGTTGTAATTTTATTAGAAATAAGTAGAGATTGGGGACCCATTAAATTGTCTGCAGGATTCTTCAGTAGGTCATGGCTTGCCGTTGAAAAGGTGCCACAATTTTCTAGAGGGAAAAGGTTGGCTCCGAAGGATTAAACTGAGTTAGGAAGCCCTGGCTGGCATGGCACAGTGGTTGAGAGTTGACCTATGAATCAGGAGGTCACGATTCGATTCCCAGTCAGGGCACATGCCTGGGTTGTGGGTTCAGTCTCCAGTAGGAGGCATGCAATCCATGATTTGCTTTCATCATGGATGTTTCTCTCTCCCGCTTTCCCTCTCTGGAATCAATAAAAATATATTAAAAAAATAAAACTGAGGCAAACTAGAGCCATGGTGTGCTTAAGAGCCTGGACTTTGGAGAAGAATGGATTTGGACTCAACTCTTGTCTTTGTCACTTGCCAGTCTGGTAGGCATTCTAGAGCTTAAAACTTCTATAAAATGGGAATGTCGCTTCCTGCCTTGGGGTTTTGAGGATTAAGTTGAAAATGTATGGCTGTAATGAGAGTATTAATATACACCTATTGATTTTTGCCATTATTACTTGCTTCAGGACAAATTGGAGTTTCTCTGACTTGAGCCCATTGGTCTTTGCACAGATTGCAGAATCTACTGGGACAGGAGTTATGGGACAGTGTTAAGTAGCAGAACAAGTGGATGGGAATTGTTTAGTTCAGTGGTCGGCAAACTGCTGCTCATGAGTTTGACTAATGAGTTTGCCGACTACTGGTTTAGTTGATTTGCTGACCCTTTGGGATCAGATCAGGTGACTGCTGGAATGTGTGCTCACAAGTTCTGCTAGTTCTCTAGAGAAGTGAGAGCTGCATGAAGGTGTCAGGCAGTTACAGTGCCGTCAGTGCAGAAGAGTTGGGCTGCTATCCTTATTCATGGGTGGGAGATTGAAGCTAAAGTGTGTGTGTGTGTGTGTGTGTGTGTGTGTGTGTGTGTGTATGTGTGTGTGTAAGATCAACTCTAGGGAAGGCTAAAGGCGACATATTCTCCTGATTCCTGAGTTTTCACTCTACGTCCTTCCATATTTCACATTTAAAATAATTTCCTGCCCTTCTATCCTCTTTTCTAAAAAAAATGACCAGCTTTTATATTTTAGATAAAAATTTGTTCCTAAAAGGAATTGAAGCCAATTTGAATGTTAAAATTTAAATAAGAAAATTAAATTCATATAAAATCCTAATATGAAGAGAAACCCATTGATTAACATTTAGTGTTTTCCCTTCCAGTTTTTTCTCATCATTTAAAAAAAGGTGGCAGTAATACTGTATATCAGGCACCTTTATAATGAAATTAAAAACAACTGGCTAGATAGCTCTAGATCAGTAAGATGGTAGAGGAAGGGAGAAGGGACAGTGCTGAATGCGAGGGATAGTAACCTTATTTTAATCTGCCCTCTTGGGTGCTCTGTGAGAAGTAGGTATTTGACTCCTATTCTCCCTTATTAGGCATGTGCCCCTGAGGTCAGAAGAACAGATCTTATGGTGGTTGTGCTGCTAAAATTAGTGTCCCCTTAGATTGCTGGGATATAGAAGCTGAACTGTTTTTTTTGTGGAATATGAAAGCTGAACTGTTTCTAACAGTTCTATTAACCATATATTTGCCAGCCAGTGCATTTCAACTGCTCCAGGTTCTCCACCAGTGACCCCGCTCAGGTCCTGAGGAAAACCCAAGCAGCCTACCCTCCATGGCAGAACTTGATTGGGCAGTGCCGCCTGCAAAGGGTGACTTAACCCTTTCTGTTTTCTCTTTTTTCCCCACAGATTTTGAAGCCAGCTTCATAAGGCTTTTGGACAAAATAACAAATGGTTCTCGAATTGAAATAAATCAAACAGGTAAGCTCCTTTTCTTCCCGTACCGGAAAGCACCTACACATGCACTACTTAATCATTCTTGCTGTTTCTCACTCCATTTGATCGTATACATTTTATATTCAGATGGGAACATCCAGTTTCCTGTTTGTGATGCAATTGTTTGGAGATATGGGTGAGCTCTTTCAATTTAAGGGGCCTACACTTGATTTAAGGAAGTTAGAAGACTGAAAATTTCAGATCAACAAACAAGCACTTCCTCTTTTTTAACAGTAAAGTATTTTATACCTACCATTTGTTAACATACAACTTATCAAAGCCCGTTTACTTATATTATCACAACAAAATCTTAGGACAAACTCTAGGAGGTAGTTGTATGTGCTGAATTTTATTTAGCTTTTAAGATTAGTTTAAATAAGTATATGCAAAAATTGTGAAAGCCCTTCAGCTGTTTCCTTTCCATTCCCTCCCCAGGTGCAGCCATGCTGGGGCGAGGGTGTACCCTTGTCACCTTCCTCTATATTGCATTTGCTTATTTGGGCACCTCTGTATCTTAGATGAGCGATTTTCAACCAGTGTGCTGCAATAATTTTTAAAAAGATGCAATACCTGACTATTTCATCAGGGGCACTGACCTCTTTTCCCTTAGATGGTCAGATTAAAAAAAAAATGACAATATCGAACATAATATCTGTCCAGTGTGAATGAGTCAGAGTTATACCTAATTTTTTTTGGTCAGGTCAGCAAAAACACTTGCTATATTTTTTTGGTGTGCGTAGAATTTTAATAATTAGTGAGATGAGGACAGTTGAAAATAGCTGTCTTAGCCGGGACCGGTTTGGCTCAGTGGATAGAGCATCGGCCTGCGGGCTGAAAGGTCCCGGGTTCCATTCCGGTCAAGGGCATGTACCCTGGTTGCTGGCACATCCCCAGTGGGGGGGGTGAGCTGGTCGATGTTTCTCTCTCATCGACGTTTCTAACTCTCTGTCCCTCTCAATTTCTCTCTGTGTAAAATCAATAATATATATTAAAAAAAGAAGAAAATAGCTGTCTTATACCATCAACAGGGTTGTGCTCTTGCTATGTTCTACAGCCAGCTTTTTTCTTCACTAGCACAGATGTCACAGGTTAATCTCAGTTATTTCAGTAGTCCTCATATAGTATTCCATTGTATGGATGCTTGATGATTTATTTCATTCAGCTTGCTTCTAGGTAGTTTTTGTTGTTTGTTTGCTGTTAGAAACACTTTTACTAATATATACATCATATAGGAAGCAAACATCTTTGCCGGGTTCCATGAAGGAATTATTTACCTTTGTGTACATGTGCAATAAAGGAAACTCTGAACTTGTGGACTCTTTTCTTTCTAATCCTCACCTGAGGATATGTTTATTGATACTAGAGAGGAAGGGAGAAAGAGAGAAACATCTATTCCTTGCCTCTCCTACACAACCCAACCAGGATCGAACCTGTAACCCAGGTATGTGCCCTGAGGAACTCAAACCCGAAAATCTTTGACGTACGGGGGGACGCTCCAGGGGTCTTCAAACTACGGCCCGCGGGCCACATGCGGCCCGCAGAGGAGTCTGATCCGGCCCGCCAGGTTTTTTGGGCAGTGAGCGCAGCCGAGGTGTTACAGTAGGAATTAGTAGTTCATATAGTCCGGCCCTCCAGCTCTCTGAGGGACCGTGATCTGGCCCCCACTTTAAAAAGTTTGAGGACGCCTGCTCCAACCAAATGAGCCACAACGGTCAGGGCCCACATGTTGTCTCTTTTAAGAAAGAAGACAAGCTTGGCTTAGTAAGTGGCCTGGTGCCACAGGAAATTTGTTGCAGAGAACAGGTTTTAGGTATGAGGCTTCGGATGCCCTTTGCAGGCTATGGTTCTATTAGTCTTCCTTGGCTTGTTTACTTTGAAATTCCTGGAGATTTTTTCAGCAGTTTATATAGATGATTCAGAGGGCAGGTAAAATTATACAGGCAGTCCTCAGGTTACGCCAGACTTGATGTAAGTGGTTATGTCACCATCTCCCATTTATTTATTTAAAAAAAAAAAAGTTCCGTCATTTCACAGAACGTATGTGCTTTATGTTTTTTATTATTTACCACAAGTAAAGGTCAGGAATTGTTATCTTTAAATTTTTTAATTTTTAATTTTTTAATTTTTTTTTTTTTTTTTTTTACTGTTTCACTTCATTACTGCTGTGTATGTGCTCCATGTGAGTGACGTATGTGCTTATGTAGGTGGGTTCAGAGGTCCGACTTATGACGAACATCTTGCCGTATGAACGGATCTCTTAACTGAGGACCTACTGTATTATTTTCTAATCACTTCTACAGTGTAGGTTGGGAAGTAGATATTTACATGATCCTGTATCTACCCTGTCCCAACGCAAAAATCACTCTCCCATACTCACCTCCACCCCAGGGTAGAATTCTTCATTCTGATGACCTGGTCAATTTCTCATTTGGTTGATTAGCAGGCATAAACAGATAAGCAGTGTTTAATGGTTATATACCTTTTTTAAAAAATGGCTTTTTGTACTAGAGAATTAGTTTTGTGACTCATGAATAGTGTTTAGGATAACTGATGTAGGATCTTTCCCTTTGAGAAGCGTGGGAGGAATATGATTCTGATTTTGATTGATTCTGATTGTGATTGATGGGATTTTAGTTTTTAATATAGTAAGACCTAAATTTATTTTATGAAACTCCTAAGAGCTGTTTTCCTTTGGAGTGACTGAATGTATCTCCTTCCTCTGTTGCTAAATTTGCTTATTGATAAATTGTGCCAAAAAGACATTGCAAAACATTTGAGCAACAAAAAGACCTTGTTCACCCATTTATACTCCCAGATCATCCTAGAGTATCTTATTTTGTTTTTCCTCTAATATGCTAATCTGGTAAGAAACTTTTTGAATGTTATGAATATGTGAAAAAGTGAGTAAAGATAATAAAGCGTTTCTAATAAAGCTAATAAGTAAATTTAGATATTTTTATTTGTTTACTTTTATAATAACTACTATTAATGGAATTGCCATAAAGTACTTGCTTTTCTAGGCATCTTGTTTGGTGAGTGTGGTACATGGGAAATCTCATTTTAAGAGCCTATAAGAAGCTGATTGCTGGTGTGATGGTTTCAGAGCATCGTTTGTAAACACCCTTGTTCAGCAAAGTCTGAGAATGTGCTGTTGGGAGATTTACGATACCTGCTAGGATTTTTTTCTCTCTGCCTTGCCATGACTTTGGCAAGTCAGATGGCTTGGGGAGGGGCTTTACTGTTTATTAAATTACACTCACAGTTTATTATTATTACAAGAGCTTGACAGTAATGAGTCAGCTTTTGGACTGAAGTGTGGGCTCTTAGGAATGGCATTTTGAACTCTCTTGGATGCCCATGTCAGACTTTCCCCTTGGGATTCATTGCCTATGTTGATTTTGTGACACCAAGGGTGTTTTTTTTTCCTGCTGAATGTGGCTCTCTTTCCTCTTATGTAAGGGACAACCTTATATTACCAGCCTGGCCTCCTGTATGGTGGATCCGTGGAGCATGACTGCAGTGTCCTTCGTGGCATTGGCTATTACCTGGAGAGCCTTCTTTGCCTGGCTCCATTTATGAAGCACCCATTAAGGATAGTCCTTCGAGGAGTGACCAATGACCAGGTTGACCCCTCGGTGAGTAGTGAAGCCACACCATGGTGTGGATTTTGTTTTGTCTCTTGTCACAACTCAAACTTTTGATAAACAAGTTCCTGATAAAGCACAGGTTTATTGTTGAGTGTTTTTGTTTTATTATTTACCTTGAGATTTAGAGATTAATCACTGCAGGATGCAGATGAACCAAGATTCATATCCGTCAATTTCAGTAACGATTGTTGCCGTTCATCAAGGTGCCTTGCGTTGTCGTGTCGAATGAACAGATGCTGGCAGTCTCACCACGGTTGACATGAAATATGGCTCTGTTAGCTGAAGTGTATGGGAGTAAAACTTTCACAAGGTCATGTGATAGCTGAGGCTGGAAAGCAGCAGACCAAAATTTTAGCAGAAAATATTTCCTTACATAAACTGATGAACAAAAACAGACCCAGAGAAAGAGAAGCAGCGATCACACTCTCAAACCTCAGAGGGAAAGTAGGGGAGGGTGTGGGTAAGGTTAAGAGATCAACCAAAGGACTTGTGTGCATGCATATGGGCCTAGCCATTGGCCAAGGACAACAGGGGGGTGGGAGCATATGTAGGGAGCGGGTTGGGATGGGAATGGGGGGATAAGGACAATTATGTGAGACCATAATCAATAAAATAAATTAATTAAAAAATATATATTACAAATTTAAATAAAAAATATATATTACAAATAAAAATTTTTTAAAAAAAGAAAATATTTCCTTTGCATTGTTGCAGCATAGTCTTGACTTATTTAAACTTTAGGACGTTCTTCTGAGAAGAGTGCAGATTTAGGAGAAGGGCATAGGGACAGGGATTGTTTTTGTAACTTTTGACAATTTAAGAGCACAGCAACCTTCTTATTAGGTAAGCTAATTTTCCTGCATGTATGGGGAAGACAGTTTAATATACAGGTGGAATTTTCATTGTGGCTACCATGAGTGTCTTAGTGCCAGTCCAGGATGGGTTTCGTTTTGAGAGAGAGAGAGAGAGAGAGAGAGAAAGAGAGAGAGAGAGAGAAAGAGAGTGTGTGTGTGTGTGTGTGTGTGTGTGTGTGTGTATGAGAGAGAGAGAGTGAGAGAGAGAGGGAGGGAGAGTGTGTGTGTGTGTGTGTGTGTGTGTGTGTGTGTGTATGAGAGAGTGAGAGAGAGAGAGAGGGAGGGAGAGTGTGTGTGTGTGTGTGAGAGAGAGAGAGAGAGAGAGAGAGAGAGAGAGAGAGAGAGAGAGTGAGAGAGAGAGAGGAGAAGAAAAAGAGAGAGAGAGATTAGAGTAGTTCTTTCCAGACCTGCCTTAGACTTCTCATTGGAACAGAAGGATCCTCACCTTTAGATGCTCTGCTGTCCAGAGAGGGTATCTTAATGCCTGTGGCCACTCTGCCAAGTCCTGACTGATGACTCTTACCTTCACCTTTACAGACATGGAACCAAGATTGATGAAGAGTCAATAATATTATAATAACTATGTATGGTGCCAGTTGCATACTGGAAATATCAGGGGGAACACCTTGTAAAGTACATGTTGTACACCTGAAACTAATATAAAATAATGCTGAATATAAAGTGTAATTGAAATTCCCCCCCCCCCCCCCCCCCAATATGAAGACCAATGAAGGGTCTAAGGTAGAATGTGAAGTATCTAGCTTCTCTAACCAGGGAAGACCAGTTAGGTTGTTCATGAGCTGCACAATGGAGACTGCTGGTATTCACCTATACACTTTTAGAGTATAAACCTGGTTAATGTGTTCTTAGGCAGTAAAATACTTATTTCCCAATTCTTGGGAATTTGGGTACATCAACTCTTTTCCTAGAATCTTAGTACAATGCATGATCTGAAATTCTTAGCTGTAAAGGAATGCTGAATAAACTGTCTACAATTTTAAACTGATTTCAAAGGGTTGCTTTTTTCTTGTATTTTTCTGGAAGATTCTAGGAAGTGGGCCCTTGAGTTTAAAGTGTTTCCAAGGGGAGGCCTCTACACTTCTAGGTGGAGGATGGAGAAAAGGTGCCTTGGGTAACGGGAAAGGCCCCGAGCATACAGGAGACTTTGGCACTGTGTCCCAGTTTTGTACTCTTTCTATAATTGCTAATGACCTTAAAAGCTGTTATCACTGGCAATATTTTTAAAAGTCTTATATATTAACAGACAAAGGTTAGTTGAAGAAGTCCCCAGAAATTAACTCTTTTGTGCAGAACATATAAAAGAAATCTGTTTTCATAAGCTACAGGACTGCTTTTGCTCCCTGCAAGACTAAAATGACCTTGGATAGTACTTGGCTCCAACCCAGGATAAAATAAGGATACCTAATCTAAGATAAAGAATAACTTCTTCAGCCTGTGGCTTCTTCATTTTGAGCTTTCTCTTCAACATGTGGTTTCCCCATCAGTTCACGCCCACATTTGCTGTCTGCCTCGGGATGAATATGATGCATTCTGCCCTTTGGGAACTTGTTCTCATCGGGTGGATAGCTCTGAACACACAGAGGGGAGGCTGCGAGGCTGAGTACCTCGGGTTCTGATGGAGGAGGTACAAACAAAGTGCTGAGGTTAAGGAGGGTTTTGTAGAGGAAGGGAAACCACAGAATCTGCCTGGTTTTTAGTAAGAGCACTGTGGAGGCTGATAGAAGGATGAATTGGAGGTTTGTCAATTAGTTTGAACATAATAGAGATGGAAGTAGATAGGAAGGAACTGATATGAAGGACAGGGTTGAGGGGAAACTTCATGATTTGACAGCTAGTTGGAGATGGGCTAGGAGGAAGTGTTCATAAAATAACTTCATGATTTTTTGTCCTGGTTGACTTGAAGGATAGTGATGAGAAGGAGTTGAACACAGGAAAGAGGAAAATTGTGGTTGGTAACTGGGTGATGTGTTTGATTTTTGGTATGTTGGGAGGATATCCATGTGTGGTTGTCCATTTGGCAGTTGGACATTAATGTCTGGAGCTTCAGTGATAGGTCATCAGTATCTTACCTACTGGTAGTTAAATCCCTAGGAGAATGAGATTGACCAGTGCTGAGCAAAGTTGAACACCGGCAGCTTACTGTCTGAGTTAATCCTGATGCAGATAGTAAAACAACTATCAGTATTTTTTCCTTTGGCGTGCACAGGGTGGTGGTGTGTGTATCTGAATTGAATGTTCATGTTTGGAACCCAAATTTTACATTGTAATATTAGGTTGATGCGGCAGCATTGATGGCAGTTCTTCTCCAACAGCCTCCCATTGGAGCTGAGTAGTAGCTGCCCTCTTGGGAAAAGGCATGAGCTCTCCAGTTAGCTGGAGGTCTTAGCTGATCTCATCATTCACTTACATTTCCCTTCTGGCCTGTATTGAGCATTAGAGGTTTTGCCGCATGGTCCCAGGGACCGAGAATAGAAGACGAAATGGATGAGTAAGGGGTGTGTAGGGGGAGAGGATCTGCAGGCGGTGAGTGGAGGTAGACGTGTTTGGAGAAGCCAAGCAGGAGTTGAGTTTTGAGAAGCCAAGAATTGATTGAGGATTGGGTAGGGAGATTTAGCAATGAGAAGTTTTATTAACCTTTGAGAGAGCAGTGACATTAGTGTGTAAGGACTGTCACAAGGTGAGGGATGAATAAGAAAGAACCATGGAAAGGAGATTCAGAAGGTTAGATAGGGTGATTCCTGAAGAGCTGAGTTTGGAAATAGTTTTCTAATTGAGAGATTTGAGCTTGCTTGTAGGCTGAGGAGATACTGCAATGGAGAAGGAAAGAATTAAAGGGTTGGGGGACTTAGTAAGGGTAGCTTCTTCAGAAGTCCAGAAGGGATGAGCATCGTAAGCAGAAGTGCTGGGATGAGCCCTATAAATAGGTAGAAACATTTTTTTTTTTCCTTTCAGAGGCAAAAGATAGAAAATGGGGAGACATTTTGGGAAGAAGCAAAGTTCCAGGACATCTCCTTTGAAGCTCAGTGATTTGGCCCTGGAACCCCCAATAGCAATAGATATTTATTGGTTGCCAACATCCATTCTTTTTCATTACCATTCTGGAAGGGTGAATGAAGTACAATAAAGTCTGCTGTGTATTGAGCACAGTTCTAGTAAATGTAGCCATATTTATTTAATTCTGGTACAAACCCTGTGTGATGGGGTTCCAGCCACTGTTTCAGACAAGGTAACTGGGAGAAGTTTCTTCCCTTATAGTTGGCATTGTATCTGATGACATTTCTACCTGTTGATTGATTGAGTGAACTTGTGCCCTGAGATGCCACTTGGGTCAGACTTTTGCTTTTTTCCCCTAACCACTGAGTGTTCAGCTTTTCTTAAGGAACTTGCAGCCCACCCCCACTCTGCTGAAACTATGGTGCAGAGCCAGAGGAGACTGGAACATGTCCAGTCCAGCCCCTATTGCGCAGCAGGAAGCCAAGGCCCCGAGGAGGTAGGGAGTGTGCAGGTTTCACAGCTAGTAAGAGGCAGAGTGAGACTCGAGCCTACATGTGCTCTTCCAACCCTCGTTGCACCACTCGAGTTGCCTGCCTTTTGCATCAGATGGAGAGTGATTTAGGAGACAGGACCACACCTGGAGTTATACTCAGGCTTCTGGCTGAACCTCAGAGTAAATCTGACTTCATCCTGTATGACTCTAGGTACAGGGAAGTTGAACCAGAAGGGCTGTTCTGCTTTCTTGCCTTTTCTGTCCCAAGGAGAGCTGGTGGCTGCCTAGTTCCAGGGAGTTATGTGGATAGAGTAACCCACATCCTTGTGTCCCCTGGTTTTTCCAGAATCTACCTTGGCCTTCTCCCCAGCTGCCCTTAGTACTAGCCTAGGCTGAATTTTATCTCCTTGGTGCTGGCCATCCCAAATGTATGTTTTAAGTATTTGGGCGTATTTAACTTTAATATTTAGGTTGAAATGAGCTAATTTTCAATGAGTTTTCCTAGTAACTTCTTCAGTGCCCCCATCATCCATTATCTACACAATCCTAGATTTCATAGGTAATTTCTACCTCATGTTAATTTTCTGACACCAGAATGTGTAGGCAGGGCCTATTCTCTGCTATAAAGCCTTATTGGAGTATCATTCTGTTGAGTCTTAGCATGTTGAAATGGGTAGCACCTTGAAGACAGACTGACAGCCTTGCCTTAGAGATAAGGTGATTAGACAGTTGTCTGAGACCATGCAGCTCACTAGAGGGAGAGCCTGAACCAGGACCAGCACTTTCCCCTACAACCCTCTGCTCTCACTGCTTGCCCTCACTGCCCCTGATAGGGTCAGCTCCCAAGTGCCTAGGAATGGCCATTTGCACATTGGGAGCAAAGAAGGGAGTGACTTTCTTTCCCATGTTGCAGTTGAGTCAGTATTCACTGTCTTGTTGGGTCAGCCTGCTTTGAATGTCATCCTTATACTCTGAGGAATCTGTTTGTGAACAGGATAGGACCCCAGGCCTCCTATGAATTCTGAATAGGGAGGAGAGAGTAGTCATACTTGACACAGCCTTGCCATTAACTGTGCAGTTGTGGGTTTGTGTTGCTTCAGGTAGTTTGAGGCAATCATTCCTCCATTGCCCTCACTTTCTTACAGAATCACCCTTTCTTTCACTGTCTATGCAATGGGCATCAGCAATATTCTTAAGTAGCTGTTGACTCCTTTTTTTTGGGTTTGCTTTGGCTTTGGCATGCTACAAGCTTTAAAGATTAAACAACCGTGTTGGGAAAAGATTAATAAAAAATATTGTATTTTTTTTCCTGTAGTAGAAATACATAAAGAATGAGCAGAGGTCCAAGTTTGTCCTATATGAATCCTGAATTTTTTCATACTTTTTGCATGTGTTTTTGGTCCTGATCATGACTTGTAAGATAGGTATAAGTCTCCATGTCAAAAATGAGGAAAGGAGCTCAGAGGAGCTAGTAGCTTATAAAATCTGTTTTACTCGGAAGCAGAGTGCTCCCATGCCCTCAGTGTAAGCCAGCATCCTCTTTCTTTACCAGAGTATACATCATCTACCTGGTTGCTATGTCTCCACTTGCTTCATTGGCTGTTTCTTCCCTTCTGCTCAAGGTTTACTGAAACGTTTTTTTTATTTGAAATAACTCTGCAGGTTGATGTTCTTAAGACAACGGCCCTCCCTGTTTTGAAACAGTTTGGAATTGATGGTGAATCACTTGAGCTAAAGGTAAGAATGAACTTTTTTTCTGTATACATCTGTAAAACATTTCTTTACCAACTCATTGGAAGAGCTGTATGACGTGTGTGTGTGTGTGTGTGTGTGTATGTGTGTGTGTGTTTGTGTGAGTTTGTGTGTGTGATATTTGAAGTCAACATTTATGAGAAGACTCATAGGACATACAAACATGACAAACTTTGAATTGAAAGGGATCTTTTAGAAGGACAGTAGTAACCAATAGTTATATTGTACTTTCTTTGTGGTGGACATTGTTGTAATACTTTACTACTCATAACAACTCCATTTGTGTCACTTAGTTAATAAGTAGTAGAGTTAGGATTCTAACTATACTGCTTCTCTAATCTAGATCATATGCATATAGATTATGTCTGAACATCATAGTGCAACATGTTGCTCACATTTTTATGATGAGGCTGGTGTACATAAACAAACCCACTTCTGTGCCAGTCGTATAAAAATATTGTATAACACATACAACCCTAGCTGGTTTGGCTCAGTGGATAGAGTGCTGGCCTTCAATTTCGATCAAGGACATATGCTGGGATTGTGGGCTCGATCCCCAGTGGGGAGCATGCAGGAGGCAGCCAAGCAATGATTCTCTCTCATCATTGATGTTTCTATCTCTCCCTCTCCCTTCCTCTCGCAAATCAATAAAAATATATTTTAAAAAATAAAAGTATAACACATACAATTATGTATGAATCTCATGTTGTTTTGTTCATAATAGCCCCTAAGCATACAGAGGCCACCGTAGCATTCCCAGTAAGAGGCTATGTTGAGTGATTGACCTAGAAACAAAATTGCAAAGTGACTAGAGACTACAAAGGTAGAAAACCAGTGGTGGTTATTGCTCACCAGTCAGGCATGTCCTATTCCACCATAGCTATGATACGATCTTGAGGAACAAAAACCAAGTAATGAAAGCTAACAAGACTAACACAAATTCGAGAAGGGCCTGTATCAGACTTGGGGAAATTTCTAATGACCTGGATTGAAGACCAGACACAGAAGTGTATCCCTCTCAGCACTATGACAATCACAGCCAAAACAAAAAGTTCGTTTGGGATGCTGAAAGAATGCTGGACTTTATTACGATGTTGAATATACTGCTAGCTCTGGATGGTTTAAAGGATTCAAGCATGTTTATTCATTACATAATGTGAAATTGAGTGGTGAGTCTGTGAGTGCCGTGAAGGGATCTGAAGAATTTGGGATACTCTAGATCAGTGGTTACCAACCTTTTGAACCTCACGGACCACCAGTGGTCTGTGGACCATCAGTTGGCAACCGCTGCTCCAAAGGTTTCCTTAAACCAGGGGTCGCCAACCTTTTGGACCTCACAGACCACTGCTGCTCTAGGTAAGCTGTTTGTGGAAGAAAATTACTTGTCAGAACAAACATTCAGTATGGATGAAACCTCCCTATTCTGGAAATAGAGGCCTGAAAAAACTTTCATCCATAAGAAGGTCAGGTCAATCCCAAGAATAGGATAATGTCTTGCTTGGGGGCATTGTTTCTGGCTATAAACTGAAACCTTTGTTTGCTGGCCAAGATCAACCCAAAGGCCTTTTAAACGTATCAGTAAGCACACACTGCCAATATCCTACAGGTTTGGTGAGAAGTCATGGATGATCCAGCTGCTCTTCCAAGATGCCCTTTTGAATTACTGTCAGTGGAATGGAAAAGTACTATTTGGAGAATTATCTATCTTTTAAGATTTTGCTTATTGTTAACAGTGCTCCTGGACATCTTCCTTTTATTGGTGATCTTTTAAAAAAATATATTTTATTGATTTTTTACAGAGAGAGAGATAGTTAGAAACATCCATGAGAGAGAAACATCCACCAGCCAGCTCCTGCACGCCCCCTACTGGGAATGTGCCTGCAACCACGGTACATGCCCTTGACCAGAATTGAACCCGGGACCCTTCAGTCCGCAGGCTGATGCTCTATCCATTGAGCCAAACCGGTTTCGGCTATTGGTGATCTTTATCCCAATATCAAAGTTGTGTTTCTTTGCCCAAACACTACCTCTTCTATTGAATCAATTGATCAAGGAGTTATAGTAGCTTTTAAGGCCTTCTACCTGAGGAGGACCTTTGCCCAAGCTATTGCTGCAGCTGAGGAAGATACTGAAAAAACACTGATGCAATTCTGGGATTACAGTAATCCATGACTGCATCACCCAAGCTTGGGCTTGGGTGATGTCACCAAGAAGTATATCAATGGCATCTGGAAGAAAACATTCAGTTAGTTTGTCCATGACTTCAAAGGATTTTCCAAGGCTTAGGATGTTGCAAAAATCAACAGTGCTGTGGTTGAGTTGGCAAACAACTTTGATCTGCAAGTGGATGAGGCTGACATTGAGGAACTCCCAGAGGTTGTTCCTGAGGAAATGGCTAATGGAGAGTTGTTGGAACTGGGACAGGAATGCATAGCTGAAAAAGTGGGAAGAGAAAAGGAATTGCAGGAGGAGGGAAAGAAAATTCCCAATGAAGTGTTTAGCAGAAGTTTTTGAAGAATTCAAAAAGCTCCTTAAAAAGTTTGAAAACACAGACTCCTTCCCCAACACCAAAAGGTTTTCATTAATAGAGAGGAATTTTCGTGATATAAATCTGCTTACCAGCAAAAAATGATGAAAAAAGAAACAAACTAAGAAAACCAAAGTGGACATATTTCCTCAAGAAGAGCTTTAGGAGGTATTCCAAAGGAAGGCATAGTTATAAGGAGAAGACAGCTCATTTGTGTTATTACCTCTGAAGACCTTTTAGTGGGACAAGATGTGAAGTGGGGCCCGAAGCCAGTTTGGCTCAGTGGTAGAGCGTCGGTCTGCGGACAGAAAGGTCCCAGGTTCGATTCCGGTCAAGGGCATGTACATTGGTTGCGGGCACATCCCCGGTAGGGGGTGTGCAAGAGGCAACTGGTTGATGTTTCTCTCTCATCGACGTTTCTAGCTATCTCTCTCCCTTCCTCTCTGTAAAAAATCAATAAAATATATATATATATATAAAAAAAGATGTGAAGTGGGAAGACAGTGAGTTTAATGATCCTAACCTTGTGTAGGCCTAGCTAATGTGTGCGTTATTGTGTCTTAGTTTTTAACAAAAAAGTTAAAAAATAGAAAAAGCTTATAGAATAAGGAAATAAAGAAATATTTTTGTACAGCTGGTATGCATGTTTGTGTTTTAAGCTAAGTGTTATATAAGTTAGAAATTTAAAATTTATAAAGTAAAAATTTTATAAGCCAACGTTTATTTATTATTATTGAAAACACTTTTATTTTTTTATAAATTCTTTTTTTAAATATATATATTTTATTGATTTTGTCCAGAGAGGAAGGGAGAGAGATAGAGAGTTAGAAACATCGATGAGAGAGAGTCATCGATCAGCTGCCTCTTGCACACCCCCTACTGGGGATATGCCCGAAACCAAGGTACATGCCCCTGACCGGAATCGAACCTGGGACCTTTCAGTCCCCAAGCCGACACTCTATCCATTGAGCCAAACCGGTTTCGGCTATTTTTTTTTTTAAATAAATTTCTTTATTGATTAAGTTGTTATATATGTGTCCTTATCCCCCTATAACCCCACCAATCCCCCAACTCATGCCCTCACCCCCCTGTGAAAACACCTAAATAAATTTAATGTAGTCTAAGTCTACAATATTTAAAGTCCTCAGTAGTGCATAGTAATGTCCTAGACCAGTGGTTGGAAAACCTAGACTCTCGATTCCAATAATTACAGGCTATTGTTGTTCCTTATGATTAAGCCCCTATTCCAGTGGTCGACAAACTTATTAGTCAACAGAGAGGCAAACAGCGGGTGGCTTGTGAGCCTCAGTTTGCCGACCACTGTCAGACCTTCATGTTTGCTCACTGCTTAATGATTCATCCAGAGCAACTTCCAGCGCTGTAAGCTCCATGTTTTGTACTGCTTTTTTACTGTACCTTTTCTATGTTTAGATCTATAATCAGCATTCATTGTGTTATAGTTACCTACAGTATTCAGTACAGTAACATGCTGTAAGTGTTGTAGGAACAATAGGCTATATCATATGTAGTAGTCATGCATGTTTGTGTAAGTATACTCTGTGATGTTCCCATAGCGACCCCATCACCTAAAGGTGCATTTCTCAGAACATATCCCCTGTTGTTAAGTGGTACATGACTTTAATACAGAGATTGGATAGATTAGTTAATTGCACAGGAGAAAAGGGTTAAGAAATGGAATTAACTCCTGAACCCTGCTAGTTTCTCCTGAGGATGAGGGCCTGCCTGACTTTGAGATCTGTCTCCTTTCTAAGGAAGAGCCCCTTGGTGTAAACCTTACTGAGTTGGGTGTCTGGGCCATCTACTCATTGCTGTATTCTTGCCTCTTTTTCTCACCATGTGTGCAGATTGTGCGTCGGGGAATGCCTCCTGGAGGAGGAGGAGAAGTGATTTTCTCGTGTCCCATAAGGAAGGTCCTGAAACCCATTCAGCTCACAGATCCAGGAAAAATCAAACGTATCAGAGGAATGGCGTATCCTTTGCATTTGGTTCAGATTTCTTATTATTTTCTCTCCTCATGAAGAGTGACTCACAACCAGTTTACTTCTTCCCAGAGTTATTTTACATTTCAGACAACAATCATGGAAAAATCTTAACAGTGAAACTGTAGTTGTTGGGTGGGTTATGATGCTTAATTAGCTGCTGCACCATGACCTGATTGATTGATCCGTTCATTTTCTTATTTCAGATAACATTTAAATGGCTCCCATGTATGTGATACTCTTCTGAGGGCTTTGGTTTGGGGGCCACCAGTGCACAGGCCATTTGGACTGAGCCTTCTAGACTAGAGGCTTGTGAAGTGGAGCAAAAAGGAAAAGTGCTTCAGGCAGAAAAGTGGGCCTGTGTGGAGGTAACAGGTGCATGATGGTTCTGGGGAGCGGTAAGCAATGTGCTGTGGCCCAAGTGCATCAGCTAATGGTGTTTGGCAGTAGAAGGTGATATACGAAAGATGGTCAGGAGCCAGTGGAGGTGGAAGGCCATGCTGAGGCGTTGTTCTTCAGTTCCGAAGTTAACAGTTTTCTGTTAAAATGAATTTGCATATTAAGAGGATGATTCTGGTGGTACAAAGAATTTTTGGTTCATTATAGAAATTTTGGAAAGTCCAAGTTAAAAAAGAAAATCAACTAACGACCGGCACTTAGAGGCAAAGATGGTGGAGTTACTATGCCCTAAAGAGAAACAGTGAGGGTAGGTGCTGGAGGACAGGTAAAGGCCTCTAGTTTATAGGATCCGAAAGGTAGGATGGATAGGACACAATGATTACCTGGGTCTGTAATAGAGGAGCAGGGAGTCGTGAGGATGATTTTGATGTTCCTCACTTAGGCACCTGGGTAGAGAGGTTTGTTCTGATAGTAGCTACAAACGTTTGTGGTGATGTGTGGCGTTAGTTTTTGTTGTCTGTTTTGATTTTTAAATACTTTATATGTTAAAAATATAGCAAAAATATTTTTTGTTCAAAGAGGAAAAAATATACTCTTTGGTCGTGGTTCTAAGGACAGAAGTAAGTAGTCTCTGGCTGCTTGATGATGTGACAGAGCTTGATGATGATTTCTTCCACGTGTGACTTCACCTGCCCTCCCTTGTACATTTCTGTTGGATCAAACACTCCCATGTTACCACTTGGCATCATAATGAACCAATATATATTTCACGTGGCAACAGGCAGGTTGAGAAGGGAGATGAACCAGTGCAATGAAAGGGGCATTATAATGCAGTGACAGTGGTGTGGCCAGTCAGTTCTGGAACTACTCATCACGTTGTCTTCATGACATGCCCGGCCAGTTATACCTTTCCACAGAATCTTGTGCCCTACAGAAACAGGAGTCTTTCATGTTTCTTTTCTTTTTAAATGTTTATTGTTGAGATTATTACAGTTGTGTCTCCCCCCGCCCCCCAATAATTCCCCTCTACTCAGTTCCCACCCTACCCCATGCTCTCACCCCCACTGTCCCCATCCATAGGTATAAGATTTTTGTTCAATCTCTTCCCACACCCCTCACACCCATTTCCCCCTGAGAATTGTCAATCTACTCCATTTCTATGTCCCTGATTCTATTATATTCATCAGTCCATTCTGTTCATCAGATTTTTTATTCACTTGATTTTTAGATTCACTTGTTGATAGATATGTATTTGTTGTCACTTTGTTCATAATTTTTATCTTTACCTTTTCTTTTTCTTCCTTTTCTTAAAGAATACTCTTCAGCATTTCATATAATACTGATTTAGTGGTGATGAATTCCTTTAGCTTTTTTTTTTTTTATGTGAAGCTCTTTATCTGACCTTCAATTCTGAATGATAGCTTTGTTGGGTAGAGTAATCTTGGTTGTAGGTTCTTGCTATTCATCACTTTGAATATTTCTTGCCACTCTCATCTGGCTGCATAGCTTCTGTTGAGAAATCAGCTGACGGTTGTATGGGTGCTCCCTTGTAGGTAACTGTTTTTCTTTTGCTGCTTTTAAGATTCTCTCTTTGTTTTTTGCCCTTGGCATTTTAATTATGATGAATCTTGGAGTGGTCCTCTTTGGATTTCTTTTGTTTGGGGTTCTGTGCACTTCCTGGACTTGTAAGTCTATTTCTTTCAACAGGTCGGTGAAGTTTTTGGTCATTATTTCTTCAAATAGGTTTTCAGTATCTTGCTCTCTCTCTTCTTCTGGCACCCCCATAATTTGGATGTTGGTATGCTTGAAGTTGTCCCAGAGGCTTCTTATGCTATCTTCATACTTTTGGATTTTTTTTTTTTTTTTTTGGCTTTTTGCTTTTCCTGTTGGGTGTTTTCTTCTTCTTCGTATTCCAAATCTTTGACTTGATTCCTGGGATTCTCTAGTCTGCTGTTGGATCTCTGTGTATTATTCTTTATTCAGTCAGTGTATGCTTAATTTCTGATTAGTCCTTTTTTATATCCTTGAAGGTTTCACTAAATTTCTTGGAGGTTTCTAGAAGATTCTTGAATAATCTTATAACTGTGGTTTTAAACTCTATATCCAGTAGTTTGCTTTCCTCCTTTCATTTGTGACATGTTTTCTTTGTCTCTACATTTTGGCTGCTTTCCCCTCTCCTTCCTCCTCCCTCTCACTGAGATTTGTTTACTAGCGGTGAACTCAGCTTAGAATCCTAGTCTGGAAATGTGATTCCTGGAGTGTGCGTGTTTTGATACCATCTTGTGGTAATGACATGGGTTTCATGAAGGCTGACACACTGGGGTCCAGCCTGGTACTACCCTTTTTACTGGGTATAGAAAAGCCTCACAAGTGAGCCTTTGATGTTGCTGGGAAAGGGGTGAGCATCCTGGGTTATATAGAGAACACGGAAGCTGAAGGCTGTGGTTCCCCGGGCACCTGGGGTTTTATTTTGTTCCTCCCTAACTTCTCCCTCTGGTGTTCCTTGTACAAAATCTGAGCCAGAGACTCTAGTGAGGGCCCAAGCCCCTCCCCTTGCTTGAGGCAGGGGGTATAACCCCTGAGTCCTCCTCAGTATTGCTCTAAAAACTCCCTGGGAAAATACCTTTGCTTAGATACCTGCCTCCAAACCAAACATTCCTGCCTCTGGTGTGCAGAGCAGCTCATTTCACAAACACCTCAAAGGAATGTGGGTTTGAATTGAGATCACCTTCGTGGCCAGGATTGGAGCCTGGGAAGAAAAGAGCTGCCTTTGGAAAAGTTTTGGCTGGGTTTGTGGTTTTTACTTGAAAGGCTGGTTAACTGTTGAACTGAGCTTGGAGTTTATATTCCCCACAGGAGGTCTCAAGATGGGAGAACTATTCCCACTCTCCTCTGTGTATTTGTGGTTTTAAGGAGCTACCACCCAAAGTACATCTTTTCCCTTCTGATTGACTGGCCAGGGCCTGGCAGGGAACTGGTGTTGGTTCCTGCTAGCAGCTGTGACTGAATGGTGTGGTTACTGTTTATTTAATGTCACCCACTCTCTTCTTCCCCCTGCCTGATGTGGGTGAGAGTGTTTTACAGTGTGGCCTGGTTGCTCATGATCTGGTATGTAAGAGTTAATTGAGTAAACTGAGGTAGAGGCAGAAGTGGGGTGTGACTTGGAATTTGTGGGACAATATGGTTTTTTTTCTCTGCCTATAGGGAAGGTATTTAGAGAATCAATCTCTCTCTCTCTCTCCACAAACACACACACACACACACGAATGTACTCCTTGGAGTTCTCTGACCTGCAGTCCTAGGGAGGGTGAAGATCCATATGGACTGTAGTTATGAACGTGTCACTCTAGGATGTGTAGTATTCACGAATAAGCTTCAGGACATTCATAACCTCCAACTTGTCTATCACAGTGTGTGTTAATGTGTTTCTTGAGGGAGTGTCATAGCTTTCATCAGGTTCTCAGAGGGCTCTCTGGTCCATAAAGGAAAAGAACCTCTGCTTTGGGATTTGAATCTTGGACTAACGGTAAGAAAGGCAATCGCTGACATTTGTTGGGCTCCAACTGTCCACCAGGCACCACTAATCGCGTTACATGCATCCTTTCATTTGAGCCTTTCATACAAACCCTATAGGGAGAATATTATGATTGTTCTTCTCTTACTGATGAGGAAGTGAAGGGACAAAGGAAAGCACATTTGAGCCAGCAGGATGCAGTTTGCTGGAGCTGGGACTTCCACACAGTCTGATTCTAGAACCTTAATTGTTCCTTGGTGAGGAACATGTGGCTCCGTAGTGACTCTGGGATGTACTAGTGTAAAGCTCCTTTACCTTCTTTACTTCATGGCCTTACTTCTAGCATAGCTTTGCACAGGCCCTGCACTGGCGCCGTCTCCCTCCTGGTTTCCGCATCTCTGGAAGGGTTGGGGGAGGAGGTTGTCTTTGGGAAGTAGATCTGTTTAATTTTGAATCTTAGTTCTGTGACCCACTTGTCCTCAGTGTAAGTCCTGGACCTGGGGACCCATAGTCCCTGCCAAAGGGTTGCCATGAACATAGAGTAAGTTGACAGTGTACCTAAGACAACTTTGTGAACCATGAACGCTGTGGGATTGTGTGTCAGGATAGTGACATCTGCGCTCTCCTAGGGAGAGTGAGCAGCCTCAGACTCAGAAGGACAGCACCCACCTGGTCCAAAGGGTATGAGACCCGGGCTTGTTTGTCGTAGCTATCTGTGGTCAAAAGTACACTCTGGACAGAGTGGTGGTGATGTAACTGGGCTCTGTGTGTGTATGTATTGAAAAATCCCTCTTTGCTCTTTCCTCATTTCAGCTTTGTCCTTTGAGACAAGTCAAATATTTATCGAATATGAGTACAAAAGTAGTCTAGTATAGAGTCGTGAGGGATGCAGCAGCAGAGCCCTTTGGCTATGGAGTCTGTAGTCTTGTTGACGAGTGAGAACATGTGTGTGTACGAAGGGAGATGGATGGTAAGTGTAAGTGCTGATCACTGTTGGGTGCTGGCTGGAGAGTTTCAGAAGAGGGAGGGAACTCTGGACTTGGAAGGATGAAGGAAGGGTAGTTCGGGGTGAAGAATTTGGATGGGTGGAGGGGTGAGGTTGCCGGGTTAGGGATGAACACTGAGCAGGCCGGAGGGTCTGGCAGCAGGATCTGGGAGGGTCTGGAGTTACTGGGAGATTCTCACCAGCATGAGGAAGATTAATCTTTGGGTGGAATGTTTAGGATGGATCAAAAAGGGAAATTAGATGCTAATCAAGTTTTTGCTCAGACTCAGAGCATTTTATTCTACAGTTCAAATGAAAATTAAATGTGTCATTGATAGTAATTTTTGAAAAGTTGAGCTGAAATGGGCAGACCACACACTTTGTTTTCCTTGTTGGACTTGCCACATGAGGTTTGTATAAGGGGAGTGGGAAGAGCATATGTTATTACTTCTCCCTTCTTTTAGCCCCTGCCCTGCATATCTAGCTGGCTTATGGCCATGCATTGCACGCACATTAAAAGTGCTCATTACACACTTATTTTTATTTGATTCATGGGATTGGGGAGAGCCAATCTCTGTTTTCCACTTTCTTAAGCACCGGTCCTTTTACTTGTGTTGCTAATATCTTCCTCCTCTCCTTTCTGGGGTCCCTGTTATAAAAGTGCTAATTACCAGTATTTTGACCATATGGTAGCAGTTGTGCATAGTCTGAATCATCCACAAATGGAGTGATTGATACTCAAATAATTGAAAATAGTCTCTGTGCATTTAATAAACGACAAACCTGTTTAGACCTTTATATGCCACAGCTACTATGCTCTTTTTCTTCTTTCTCTTTTTTTCTCTGTTTTTCCTATCAACAGTGTAGCATCTGTTCCTATCTTAGGTCCTAAGAGAGTCTCGTTGGTTACAGCAATGGGGATGATCAGAGAATTCCTCAAAAGGCGCTTGGTTCATGCCATAGGAAGCAGTTGCCTTCATTTATTCCAGAATTGAGTTGAATCATTTCTAAGGGCAGGGGTCTGGGTGGGAAATTTACATCAAGGTTGGAAGGTTTTACTTTTCAACTCTTTATATTGTTTATTTCCCACCATGAGCATTTAAGCCTTTTATAACTATAATGTAAAGTTATATATTAAATAAAATAATAATAAAAATTGGTGGTGGTACTATACAGATAAGTGCTGAAGTACAGTTAGAAAATTAAATGCAATTAGAAGTCTCAGTTTATCACTACAGTTTGACAAATATTTGCCAGCTCTTGTTGTTTTTCTACTCTGAAGTCCAAGGAGAATGACGCCCTTAACTCTAGGTTGCAGGTACTCCGTCCGTGTTTCACCTCAGATGGCGAACCGGATTGTGGATTCTGCAAGGAGCATCCTCAATAAGTTTATACCTGACATCTACATTTACACAGACCACATGAAAGGAATCAACTCTGGGAAGTAAGTGTCTGTGCATTTTGGGAGCTTAATTCTGCAGCTACCGTAGCCTTTTTCATACTCAGCTCTGAGGTTGGGCGGCCAGAGGAAGAACAATTTCAGATTTAATTTCCTTCTAGCTCACTGCCATTGCCACCCATAACTCCTATCTCAGGAAAGCATCACAATGTCCAGTACTGGGAGATGAGGAGTCCATCCCTAGCTTGGGGGAATGAAAACCTAGCTATTTATTAGCAATGCTTTAAGCTTTAAATTCCATCTGTACTCTGTTCCCACAAAAAGTTAAAGTAAACAGGTTCTTGCACTCTGAGGAAATAACAGTTCAGGCAGAAATCCTTTGTTGGCCCAAGTGCCAGTCAGATTCTCTCTCTGTCGGGGAACAACACCCCTGGAGCCAAAGAAAGTTGTTATTGCAGATTGGGTTTGGTTTAGTGAAAGCCTTTGTGGAAAACCCCACTTTAGAAAATAAAAAGTTAATGATCTGTTTTGAGCTTTTGTTGTATTTTTAGAAACCAGCAACAGGGAAGCAATTAAAACCATGTTTTTTTGTTTTGTTTTGTTTTGTTTTACTCTGAAAATGTTAAACATAAAGAAAAGTTGACCTGAAACTAATACAAAATAATATCAAATATAAACTGTAATTGGGGAAAAAATAAAGAAAACTTGAAAGGATATTGAAAGGGTAGTATAGTGAACACCTATATATTCCTGCTACCTGTAGTTAACAATGAATATCTTGTGAAATTTGCTTTACCTGTGTGGGTTTGTTTGTTTTTGCTGAAACATTTTAGTAACATTTAGTGACAGTACTTCAGATCTGAAGTTTTCAGGTTGTGTCTCCTTAAAAAAAAGAAAAGAAAAAAAGAATATTGGGGTAAAAGGTTGATGCTGCTGCAGCTAACCCTTTTCATGAGTGTTCCTTTTAACTTCAGCAACAAAAGGAAAGAGAGTCAAGGAGGGTGACTATGTTATGGCATCTCCGATCTTTGTGAGGCCCAAGGAAAAGATAGTGATTTCAGAAACATGGTAGTGACTCCTAGTCCAAAGCAACAGAGGCGGTGGTGTCAGAGGTGAGAGTTGAGAAAGGATTTGTGTCCTCTGGGGTTGGAAAGGTCAGTGAGGGTCCCAGACCTGTGTATATTGCTCAAATGTCACCAGTGTTTTCCTTGTTCAAACTGTGGCAGTGGTAACATCCTTAGGTAGTTGTAAAGATGAAAAGAAAAGATCACACATGTAAGCCACTAAGTCAAGCATGTCAAACTTGCAGCTCACGTTTGCACTAAGGCAATGCGTGGCCCATAGGTGCTGCAGAAATGGTAGCTGCTAAGGCTGTTCTTTCCTTTCTCTTCCCTTGGCCACAGGTCTGGAATTATGTCAGCAGTTGGAATTTTGAACTCAGTCTCTACCAAAGGGTGGCCAGGGGTGAAATAGAGCAGTTTTGAGGCTATACTTGCACCAGTGTGGCTTTTTATGACTGACTCAGCTGACCCCAGTGCATGGTCACACTAGGAAGCTCCCACATGGATCAAGATGTGGGTATTTGTGGACTTGTGGGTCATCAACTCCAAGCTTCCTTTAAAAAGTTAAAACCAATGTATGATAAGTCCATATTTAGTTTTCTGAATCTTAAGTTACAGATGATATAGTGTTTTTCCTTCTCTGTTATGAAATTAGGAAGTCATGGATGGGTATTTTCTTCTCAGTCGGTGGAGTATGCATGTCAGTTAGGCTTATGTTGTAGCCGTGACCTGAACCTTGGGGCCAGCAATTCCTGATGCCTCTGTCAGTGCTGTGACCAACATGCAAATCTGTCAAGGAAAGGTATCATTTTGACTTTCACAGTCACGACTTAAAAAAAAAATAAACAACCAGTCCTTTACTAGTTGGAAAGTTTTGGAGGCTGCCACTGGTAAACCGCACCAATGTGCATTTTCAGTGAGGTCACCTGGCCACCAGCTGCTTGGTCAGTGTAACTTGAAATAGGGCTCTTCACACACACCCCAACTGGGGAGAAAATTGAAGTTATATACATACAGATTAATATGTCACCTTGTTTCTGGCAAAAGAAATATAATATCAAATGGAACTATCTTGATCAACTGTAAAATTTATTAAAATGAGTCCACATTTCTCACAAAATTCATATGGATAAGAAAATTAGGAAGTTCTTGGGAAATACAGAGAAGTGGATTAAAGCAGTGATGAGAGCTTATCTCCCGGTTCTTCCTCCCCTCCATTTCCTACTCTTTCATTTTACATTCCACTGCCTCTCCTGCAGAGCTGGCCGTCCCCTCCCTGCTCCTGGTCAAGCAACTCAAAGGCAACTTGAGATGGTGCAAAAGTGTCCCATGACGATGGATGGGTGGCACAGTGTTAGATTGTTAAGCATCACACAGAGTACCCCCGAGCCTTTGATTACGTAGGTAGTTCACTGCCCTCCTCTTGGCAGGTGCCATTAACCTTGGACTACATAGGTCATTGATTTAAAAATAAAAAAATTGATAACTGGCCATCATAGTTCCTATAGTGAGCTCATAGTGCATTTGAGGCATCATTAATACTACACATAGTTTTCCTGAAACAAATATCTGGGCTAGTTTTGCAGAGTGCTCACAAAAGGTGCTTTATGAACTGAGTCAGAGGAGCAGGTCTGTACGTGCTGTGTGGACGGTGGCTGCTGCTCCTCTCCTGGTGACATGTTTACTGAAAAGGCACGAGGCAAAGGAGATTTGAGGGGTCAGATATGGAAATTTTGTGGAGAGGAACTAGTGCTTTATTGTTTATGGACTGATTTTGTTTTGTGTCTAACTGGTTGTCACTGAAGTCGGTGAGGGCAGGAACGCTTGTGTTACTGCAATGTCCATGGCAGCACGTGTTTGTTGGAATTACGAACGTGGTTCTAGACCAGAAGGGTGTTAGGTTCTGGCTGTTGGCTGGTAGAAACATAGTGGGAGAGAACATGTGCCAGCTCTTTGATGCCATTAATTGAATTCTGAGTTAGAGGTGTCCCTTAGGGACACAAACAAAGATGAGCCTTTATCTGGGCTTTTCCTGGCTTGTGTGGCACTTTTCATTATTTGGGAAGAGGGGGGGGGGGGGCTTGATGTATTTCAAGAGGAGCTGTAATGAGGTGGTCTCCAGGACACTTACACCTTCTGGGTTGGCTGTAAGGGCTGTGGTGGTGAACTTGGGTAGGTTTGGGAGTCTGGAAGACCTGCATTGGAAACACACCTCAGACACTTCCTAGCTGTGTGGACATGGTGCAGATTGCTTAATTTCTCCATTGCCTCATTTCTAAGATGGGCACATATTACCTACTCTGCAAAACTGTGTCAAAGCCTCTAGGTCAGAAACTGGCAGAAAGGAGGTGCTGAATATCTGGGAGCCCTTGTTAATGCTACTACAATCTCTCACAGTAGGATCTTTCACAGTGTGGGAGGGGCAGAAGGCAGGGATGGGAGGGGATAATAGGAAAAGCAATGTAAACTTGCACCTTCCTTGGTTCTGCCAGGTGCGCTCTTACCAAGTCACGTGTCTGTCCACTGCAAGCTAATGGGAACTCCAGTAGGGCTTGATGTAACAACGCAGAATGCCGTCAGAAAGGTGTTTGTTTTCTCTTTCCTTCTGCTGGTGCCTGCACCCCACTTCATTAACCCTACTCAGTGTCTGTGCCTTTGAATCCCCAGGTCTCCAGGCTTTGGATTGTCACTGGTTGCCGAGACCATCAATGGCACCTTCCTCGGTGCTGAGCTGACCTCCAACCCCCAGGGCCAGGGAGTGGCGGTGCTTCCAGAGGACCTGGGCAGGAACTGTGCCAAGCTGCTGCTTGAAGAAATCTACAGGGTATGTCCTCAGCCTCTGCCAGGCGGGAGAGGAGCCATCCGGAAGCAGTTCATTGTTTCATTCTTACTCCTTAGCACTTTCTTCCCTGTTCAAGGAATTATAACTCTTCCTACCCATTAAACAGTTTAATATGAACTGGCTTAATGGATTAGCTGAACTAGTCAGTAAGTAGAGATCCAGTTTACCTGATTTGGGACACAGGGCAGGTACCTTTATTTATTTATTTATTTATTTATTTATTTATTTAACATTGTGGACGCTATTTAAAAGCTGAGACAGAGTTATTCAGGAAAGAAAAGGTGTAAAATGAAGCAGGTTAGCTAGTGACTTGCCACTTGAAGAGGATACAGTGCCGTGACCAAATCAGGTGCCACCTTCCAGCTCCTCCAGCTCCTTGCCATGTGAGGATGGGGGCTCATTGTTTTCAGGTTCTTTGAGGAGTTAAAAATCGCGATTTGTATGTGACAGCTGATTTAGATACAAAATAGTGTCAACAGACTAGAATTTGTAGTGTGTTCTGGAGCATAAAGGAATGTTTAGGGAAGGCAGGCGTGTGTCAGCGCATGGCAGGGGCTTTGGAAAGGCGAGAACACAGGAGACAGAGTGACACGAAGCTGACGACAAGACTTCATCCGTTGCCATTTGCTTCTGCAGTTCTGTTGATGGGACACAGCTCAGACCAACTTGGGCCAACCTGTCCTCTCAGTTTTCACAGGTTTTTCTCTGTCCATCTATACAAACAACATATGGTTAGGCATACATACGCTCTTCCTGTTTCCCAAAAATAGTTGAGGTGACCTAAAATAAGCAAGGAAGGAATTGGGAGGGAAAGAAAGATGATGGCAGGGGAAATAAGATGAAGCTGCCTGAAAAAAAAATTTTTTTAAGTTCCCTTAAGGTTGGTTAGAGGAGAGTCAGAAATCTGGCCTCAGGATTTCTGGTTGTCTACAATCCTTGCCTTGGATCCATGTCAGAAGGCGAAACCTTCTCCTTGGCATGCAGAATCCAGGACAGGCTCCCAGGAATGCTTACTTCTCTGCTGTGTATGCCAGGCCCCGCATTCCCGAGCTGAGCACTAGCAAAAACTATGCTCTGGGTGATTTGCTATTGCATGTTGTATAGTGTTTGTAAATTGCCGTTTCTCTTCATCTGAAGAGCCTTTCCTCTCCATATTTATCTGTGTATTTAGTCTCAGTTAGTTGGCATTTCTGTGGTTCTTTCCTGAAGTCTCCAAAGAAGCTTTGCCCTGTTTAAAGTAGCAGAAATCATATGTGAGCCCTTATGAAATAAAACAGAGGAGATTTTGTCTTATTTTTTTTAATACTTTTTGTCTGTAATTTATTAATCGTCGTGGTAGAGTGGTGCTTGGTTCATGGGTATTGATCCCTGCACAGGCCTGGCTAAAGAAAATAGCCTACGGCCAAGTCTTCTCCCCGTCTAGTCACCGTTCTCAACAGTACCTCATTGGTTGCAAGGTGAAACAAGTAAAAACGAACTGCTTCAGAGTTCACTAATATGTCTAGTCTTAGTGGTTTTAACTAATGTCCGTCTAATTAAAATGGAAGACAAAGGACCTATAATTGTGTCCTCACCATTCAGCTAGCAAATAGTGGCGTAAAGAAATACCCTCTCAAATGAAATCCTCCTGCAGGAGGAAGTATTTTCTCACACTTCTTGTGTGGCCAAAGGCTGGCCTTAGTTTTTTTTTTTTTTTTTTTTTAATGTTAAATCAGCCTAATGTTCAATGCTTAATTTAGTGATTCATTTTTTGGAAGATGAGTAGTAACTAAAAGTTGGGGGTACATAAGTGATCAAGAGGTTACCATGCCACTTAGTGCAGAAAGTTAGTCATCTAGACCAGCGGTTGCCAACCTCTCAGACCTGACAGACCACCAGTGGTCCCAGGACCATTTATTGGCGACTGCTGATCTAGACACCTGTGAAGACGGACTGTGCATGTGATCTGTGCATCCTAAGCCCCTGGCAATTGGTTCAGGCTTCCCTTCCTTGTGGCTTGCAGGCCTTCTGACCGTGGGAGCCTCCCGTCTCTTTCCAGTAGACCTGGGGGAGTTGGAAGCATCACATCACAGGAGAGCCCCGCTGGAGCTGGTTCTGTATCCTCATAAATAGCACGTTATAGGCCTCAGGGTGAAAGCAAGGCCACAGAGAGAAAGCATGCAATCTGGATTAGGTTATTTTATTTTTCCCCTTTACTCTAGTTAAGTTCTGCTTAAAACCATTTCATTGTGCCTGCACCAAGTTGTGTGTGTGTGTGTGTGTGTGTGTGTTTTAAAGAAAATTTCTTTTGTGTGTGTCTATGGTCTTTAGTTGTTAAAAGGATGAAAATACTTCATGTTCTTGTGAATAATTCTTTATGTCTGTGACATGACATGTTTAAAAGAATAATAAAAATGTATCCCCTTTGAAGGTGCTGTTTATTTTTATCAACATTGTAGTCCTCTGATCTAATTCCTCTTATTCTATTTATGTCTCAACAGTTACCAACCAAGTCCTCTTGATTGTGTTCCAGGCTTTCTGAAACTGCCTTTTCTGTCCATCTTTTAAGCTGCCTCTGTCTCCTGCCCCCTTCCCCTTTCCCCTTCTCCCCACCAGGTGTGCTGCTGTGTCCACCTGCAGGAGTGGAAGTCCTCTCCTGATTCTCTCCAACATACCCTTCCGTCTAAATCTCTTGAAACACAGTCTATGAAAGGGAGTGAATTTTATAAAAAACACTTTTTGTTGGTCCTCAGATTCTTCGTGGGTCAGGGTTTTTTGTTTGTTTTTAATGGAAATACATACATTACACCTCTTGTCCTAACATTGGCTTAGAGATAAATACTGTCGTTCAAGGTAGTTTAGGAAGAGCAGTAGATTTTCATAAAAGCTGGCAGTAGGATAAGCCCCCTTATTTTCCTACTCAGTTCTAAATGAAGTCTGAAAGCAAAGAATGGGCATTTGTGCCTGATAATTGATTTATTCCCTACACTGCATGCATTTAAGAGAGGTTGCCCTGGCTGGTGTGGCTTGGTGGTTGAACATCATTCCCTTGCATCAAGAGGTTGCCTGTTTGGTTCCCAGTCAGGGCACATGCCTGGGTTGTACGAGCAAGAGGTGGCTAATCGTGTTTCTCTCTCACATCAGTGTTTCTCCCTCTCCCTTCTCCTTTCTCTAAAATCAATAAAAAACATTTTTTTTTTTTTTTTTTTTTTTTTTTTTTTTTTTTTTTTTTTTTTTTTTTTTTTTTTATGTAGAGAGTGGCCACATGTTCTGTTTAAAGTCTGGGAGTCTAGGCTTGAACAGTGATGTGCCATCATCAGAAACTGGGTTCTTTTTGTGGCATGTACAACATATGTAGAAATTTAAGGTCATCCCACTTTCACTGTGTATAATATAAGTTTGAGTTGTTTGAAATAAAGTTATCTCAGAAAGAATGACCAGAAATAAAGATTTTTGTTTGTTTGTTAGTTCTCACCTGAGAATATGTTTTTTTCCATTGCTTTTCAGAGAGAATGGGAGGGAGGAAGTGAGGCAGAGAGAGAGAGAAAAACATTGATGTGTAAGAGACTAATTGCCTCCCTGTACATGCCCCAGCTGGGCATGGGGAGTGAATCCAAGTACATGCCCTTGACTGGGAATTGAACCTGAGACCTTTTGCTGTTCAGGCTACTCTAACCACTTTAGCAACACTGACCAGGACAATAAAGACATTTTTAAGGCACACACATAAACAGTCATGCATGCATGTAATAGAAGTAGAATGGCTGAGATGGTCAAGAAATCCAAGAATGAAAGAAGAAAGGCAACCAGAACTATTCCTCAGGAGAAAACTTGCGAGAATTCTGTTGTGCCTATTGATTTGGAAGAAAAGGAAGAAAAAGTGGCGGGAAGTAGTGCCTAAGGTAGTAAGAAAGGAGAAGTCTGGTCTTAGTAATTCTTCAGTTTTAAGGTGCACAGGAAGAGTCAAAAGGAGAAACTAATGTAACTTGACAAGCAGTTTTGGATGTGACTGGATAGGTTATAGGTTAAGGCCCTTTTCATGTCAGATTGACTGTAGTGTTCCCTGACAGATTAAATAAACAAGCCGCATCCACCTCACCCTTCTTTTTTTAAAAAATATATTTTTATTGATTTTTTTTTACAGTGAGAAAGAGAGGGATAGAGAGTTAGAAACATTGTTGAGAGAGAGTCATCAATCAGCTGCCTCTTGCACACCCCCTACTGGGGATGTGCCCGCAATCACGGTACATGCCCTTGCCCGGAATCGAACCCGGGACCTTTCAGTCCGCAGGCCGACGCTCTATCCACTGAGCCAAACCGGTCCCGGCCACCTCACCCTTCTTAATTACCTGTACATTTCCTAGAACTGATTATGCTTTTTTGTTTTGTTTATATGTCCTGCTGCTGCTGCTGCTTTAATTACAGAGAGGACGTATTATTCTTCCTTAGCTACACCTAAATAAACTTGATTGTCTATTTGTTCTGATAGTCGCAGCTATCGGATGTTCAGATGACCAGTTGTTTAACTCCCCAATGTTAAATGATACAAGGATCCCTCTGAAAAGACCTGTATTCTGTTTTATTATTGCTTGAACTTTGCAATCTGCTCTTCTGTGGTTCTGATATTCTGGGTATTTGTGACTGTTTTTCTTGGTTCTCCCTTTTCTGGTTGGAATAACGACTAATCTTGAAAGTGTTTGTATTTATAGGGTGGATGCGTGGACTCGACCAACCAAAGCCTGGCCCTGTTGTTCATGACCCTTGGACAGCAGGACGTTTCCAAAGTCCTGCTAGGACCGCTCTCTCCCTACACGTGAGTTGTTTTCTCTCAGCCTCATTACCGCTGTCCAATGTAATCTTCCAGTTGCACGAAATGACAAAGGTGTTGGACTGTGCGTAGCCTATCACTGTGAACACCTGCTTGTACTGATCCTGGAATGAGCTGGAGGTTGTCACTCTTACTCTGGTGTTTAGCAGGCATCTTGCCTTTCCTTTCTCTTCTGTAGTTGCATTATTCCCAAGCCATTGAAGTTGTGAGGTATAGTAGAAGTTCTTTTGCCTGTGCTTTAGATTTTTCTCATTTTGGAGGTAATCTGGTTCCGTTATAACTTAGATTTTGTTATTTATTTATTATTTTTAGACCCCCTCTTTTCCCTACCTGTGAGCTGTCTTTTTGTCCAAGGTGATAGGGTATAAACTGGCTGGAAAGATGAAAAAAAAAAAAAAAAAAAAAAAAAAGAGGCAAAGTCTATAGTAATGCCGCTGGACTAGTAGGGATATTGTAAAGGTGAGTTTGAGGCCATTGGATGTTATCAGAAGCTGACTGCTGAAGTATTAAAGCAAGCACTCTACAAAAAAAGAGCAGCTGATGAGAAGACTTGGATTGTTAACGGCACAGTGAAAGCAGCACTTCCCATAGGTATCAGATGAGCTTGCTGCAAGCAGCCTGTTTGAGCCCTGACATCTGGGTGTGCGTACATGTGCTCGAAATCATTACATGGCCATCTGTGGGTGGGGCGGGAGCGGGCCTGTGTGGAGGAGATACTCAGGTAGATATGAGACTGAACTGTCCTTTTTCGGTTATCATGGTACCGATGCTGTATATCTGAAAGGTACAGTACTGTGATAACTGAAGAATGGTGGTGCCATCACTTTGAGGAAGGGAAAGCACTGCGGAGGGGGCCTTGTACCTCTGGAACATCGCTTGGGGCGCATGGAGACCAGAAGCTTGAAAGAGATTGTTTTGAAGGTTTTTTTTATTTTTTTATTTGGAGTTGGTGGTGGGAGGTGTTTTGGAAAATGGCAGTGGAAGAGAAAATAGCCTTAGCAGTGGGAGAATACTGATAAGCAGGAAGCTGGTGAGGAACCACATTATCTGCTAACAGTTGTAAAGTTTTTTCATGGGACAGGGACCTGAAATGGAGTAATCCCCAGTGGAACACTAACATTAGGAATCAACATTGCTGAAACAGACTTTGTAGCTGAGCTGTCTGGAGAGGAGGCGAGGGAACGCACGCAGTGCCCGAGCACAGAGATTCACTTTCTGGGAGCGCTGGCTGCTCTGTGACCGCCGGGCCGCTTCAGCCAGCGCTCTCGCTGACGCTGCTGCCTTCCCAGCCTCTGCTTCAGGGCAGCAGAAGGCCTGACCGCTCACACCGCTTGAGGCTGTCTCTGGATGTGTGTGGTCGTGGGGCATGGCGTTTGGCAGAACATTATGTGCAAAAGGAAATCTATATTTTTAGTGTTCCTTGACCCTTTTTTTTTTTTTTTTTGGCTCTTAGAGATTTATTTTTCAGTTTGGCTACAGGGCCTTTATAATTTTTTCAAGTCAGCAGCCCCTGTGGAGATGGTCAAGATGTGACTGGACTTTTTTTTTTTTTCAAGTTCCCATGCCCTCCTCGACATACTTCGTCATCAAACATTAATTGCAAGCTTGTCTTCCAGAAACCTCTCTAAAATGACCACCTACATCTCCCAAGAAAACAAAGTGGTCTGCTCTGAATGGAGCTTTACAGGACTGGAACAAATCGCGGAATTACAGCCCTTGAAATTTAGGGCTATGTTTATCTGGGTTTCCTGCCTCCCAGGGTTTCACACAGGAGAGGCTGCCATGGGGTGGCAAGCAAACACACAGTGGGGGCAGAAGGTTGTAAGGAGTTTAAAGATGTATCTGTTTTTTAAAGATGTAACTGTTTTTTAAAGATGTATCTGTTCGGGACCCTTGTTGCTCGTTATCATTGTGGAAGGCTCCAGGGATCCAGAGCGATGAAGGGCAAAGATGGGAAGAAATATATGTCCTTCCAGGACCGAATAGACGAAGTTATTGTCGTATTTGTGAGTACAGCTTAGCATGAGTCTATAGTTAATATAATTGTGGTGGGAGGAGGGTTTCAATTGATCCTAGTTGGGTTCAAGAGTTTTGGAGACCAAACTATCACTTTATTTTTAGAAAGTACACTTAAAAGTCATAAAAATATATTTTTTGAAATCTCAAATTTCTCAAAACTAGATCAAGAAATGTATTTCTTGTGGTAGTTTTCACGTTCTGATTTGTTTAAAAAGCTTTTTAAGTGTTTTTGTTTTTTTAAAATAGAGTATTGGGATTAAGGGGGATGTGTTTTCTTATAGTATTGCTTTAAAACCCTTTCTGGAAAATAAGGGTCTCTGTTCTTCCCTTTATTCTTCCCTCTGTCTGTTGGTGGTTTTCTGTGTTACTTGAGAAAGTATGTCTATATATGTGAAATCTCTCAGGAAGGCCAGAGAGATGTTTTTCAGAAGAATAAAACAGTATTGGCTAACATGCTGGTATGTGGAAAATCTATTTCTGTTCATTTTGTTGAGTTGCAAGGTGGTTTACAATTGATTTACAGTGATTCCACTTTCCCCTGGAAAAGCTTACTATTATAGTTTAGGGAGGATTTATATATTTTTTTAAAGTGGAATTAACAGCAAGAAAATAGCACTTTCACAAATTATTTATGATTGGAGACTGCAGTTACAGAGCCTTCTACATGTTGTCGGTACATGATCGTTGAAGTGCAGCCTACCCGATTTCACACCGGGATTCGTGGACAGCCTTCAGCGTCTCTGAGCCTTGGTCTTTTCTGTGGAGAAGGTGAATGGTCCTGAAGTCAGGTTTATGAGGATGGAGCAAAAAGTCTGGTACTTAGTGCTCCCAGCCAGCAATGCAGTGAGCCTGGCAGAGCCCAGTCAGTGCTGGACACTGCAGTTACTGCCAGGATACCCCCTTGCTCTGCCCCAGCCTGGGAAAACACAATCTACCGTTACGATCCTTCTGAATACCAGGAGGCCCAGTAAACTTGCTTTGGAGTCAGACGCGCTACCGTTGCACCACGAAGTCCTAACTTGCTTTGGATTATCTCAGGCCTGAAGTCAGTTGCAAAGTGTTTGCTCTGATATCTGTAAATCTTTATCCATTAATTTTTAAATTTATGACTAACTACTGCAGTCATATTGCTAAATAAACAACACGCATCTCACTTACTGTTCCCAAGAACTGCGTAAGGTAGGTGTTTATTTAACAAACATTTACAGTATTTACTGTTGGCCCAATGTTTTAAGCACTTGACAAATACAAACTTATTTCGTTTTTATAATAGCCCTAGGAGGTTACTATTGCGCAGTCCATTTTACAGGTGTGGGGATTGAGGCACAGAGAAGTTGAGTCATGTGCCCAAGGTCACATAGTCAGCAAGTGGAGTTCAGAGCCAGGCAGTCTTGTTCAGAGTCCATGCTTCCCTGACCCACTGCTCTTATGCAAGTGCTGGGATTCCGCCCGTTGTTGGCCTTTAGACACCTCCCTGCCTGAGACAAGATGCCATGCCACATCTTTCCAGAATCCTCAGTTCAAATTTTGCTCCAAAATGATTTCCTGTCTTAAGAGTCTAAAATGAACCAGGCCTGTTTGGTTTTTTAAAGTTTAATTAGTGACCTCTTCTTGCTACTTGTGAAATGCTGGGTTGTGAGAGCCCGTTGTCCTTTTAAACACCTCCAGGCTGAGGATTCCTGACGCACCCAGGCTTGCCACACGGCACTGTGAAGATTGAACGCATATGCAGGTGGCCAAACCTGCAGCTATTTGGGTTCAGTTGTTTTAACTGCTGCTCTCAGCTGGCAGGATACCACGCCACCTTACATGCGTGATTTAATTGTGTTTAAATGCTGCAAAGCCCTGCCACCTTTAGTAAGCTGTTATCATATGCCATATTTGGCATAAGGTGAAAGTAAGTGATGTCTTCACTTTTTAGATGAAAAAGGGAGTTCAGGGATGTGCTCATAGTGAATTTTTAGCCAAATTTGTTCTGGGACCCACGTCTCTCAACCATGCAACCAGCCTGTCTCTCTGTTTCCTTTTGCCTTTATAACCCAGTTTGTTCTTAGAGCAGAGGCAAGCTGGGCTTTGGGAAAGCCTCTGTCTGGAGAAAAGCACCGCCAATATATTTAAAGCTGTGGTGTAATGACTACAGGGGTCCCATCCAGCAGATTCTCTTCTCACCCCCAGGTCTCTCATCCCCTCCTTAGACCTGAGAAGTAGGCAACCTCAATATCTGAGTTATTTGGTGGAGCAGGAATCAAGGCCTTCTGTTGTGGTTTGTGTTTGTGGAGAGAGAGAGAGAGAGAGAGAGAGAGAGAGAGAGAGAGAGAGAGATAACCCCATGATTGCTTTCATCTCCACTTTCCAGCAGGCAGAGCCTGCCACCTGGAGAGAGAGAGAGAGAGAGAGAGAGAGAGAGAGAGAGAGAGAGAGAGAGAGAGAGAGAGAGAGAGAGAGAGAGAGAGAGAACCCCATGATTGCTTTCATCTCCACTCTCCAGCAGGCAGAGTCTGCCACCTGGTCAGTCCTGGGTAGTTGGGATTCAACGGATAGATGACTTTGAGCCCAATGGCTGTCTATCACCTGTTGATCAATAATGCGTTAGGAACAACCCACTCTTGGAAGATAGAGGGAGGAAATTATCTCTGTGTTCCAGGATTCTTGAAACCTGCTTCTCAGGTGGCCTGGGGGCTTTCATGGGCTGGGTTTTTTGTTTTTTTGAATAAGTTACTATGTATTAGAAAAAGAGAGTTTACTACAGATTTAGTTCTCTAAATCCTTCCCACAGGAGTTACAGTCCCAGCTGCCTAATATGTGTGGTCTGAAAAGCTGCCAGTTACACTGCGCAGGTAGGCAGTCCTCTGTCAAGGAGCAGAGCCGCTCTCAGCGTGCATGGCTCTCATTTGCCTGGCTGTGCGGCCATGTGGTTGTGTCTGGGAAGGGTGGATCTATAGAATGGTGCTTGGAAGAGAAGGAAGGGAAGAGGCGGGGCCTGGTGGGGCCTGTGCTTGGAGCTGTGGATCAGCACCGATATGACCTTTGCTCACTGCATGTATATGTGGGGCGAGTTTATTCTCTGTTTGCTTTTCATTTTCTTAAAGAGACTGTTTGTTAGGATTTAATATTGTCTGTGGTTGTTTCTCAGCTCTGACCATGTTTGGTCTTAGATAGCTGGAGGCAGGAGGACATTCTGAAGCATGCCTTAATCTAGTCCCTTACAGAGTCTTCCTCAGACCGGCCATTGGTAGAACATTGTGTAAAAAGGGGAACCGACTTCACTTTTTCTAACGATTTCAAAGGCTACAAATACCTCAGAGCTGCAAATATGTAGGCCTGCACACTCAAACCTGTGTTTCTCCATCCTTCTCCAAGAGATCTGAAGCAAGCTGAGGCCTCTTAGGAGCTCTGCCAGCTGGGGAGGTGTCTGGTTTTTCCAGCACAGTGGAATGGCTCAGTGAAGTAGGCTGGGGAGGCTCTGGTAGCAGGCCTATATTAGAGCCTGGTCAGCAGCGAGAGAGAGAGGGAGAGGGAGAGGGAGAGGGAGAGGGAGAGGGAGAGGGAGAGGGAGAAGGAGAAGGAGAGGGAGAGAGAACAAGCTGTTTTCTCCTTAGTATGCAGATGAGTGGGTGAGTTGCTGGCTTTGTCTGTACTGCTGCCAGCTGGAGGCTTTGCCCACAGATGTGGACTGTTTATCTATGGGTTTGATGTTTTTCTTTTTTTCCTAGGACAGGGTGGGGTGCAAAAACCTGAAAATTGGTAAGACAGGAAAGCCAGCAGGGGAAGAACTGACTTCCCTTATTGCTAAGTCATTTCTCAAAATTAGTCCTAACTCCTAAATTCTATTTCTTGCCTCATTATCGAATGCCAGACATAATGCCTATCAAGTATAATGGGTTTCCGTGGAGAGAGAGTAAAGAAGAGAGGACTTGGCCCTGGCCGGGTAACTCAGTTGGTTAGAGTGTTGTCCTGGTGAGGGCACATACAAGAAGCAGCCAATGAATGTATAAATAACATTTGTTTAGGAACAGCAAATCAATGCTTCCCACTCCCCACGTTCTTTTCCCCTCCCCCCTCCCTCTCTAAAAATGTCATTAAATAAAATTTTTTAAAAAAGAGATGGTGTTTGGCTGGTGTGGGTCAGTGGTTGAGCATCTGCCCAGGAACCAAGAAGTCACTGGTTTGATTCCGGGTCAGGGCACACGCCGGGTTGCAGGCTCCATCAGCAGCAGATCAATAATGTTTCTCTCTTATCGATTTTTAAAAAATATATATTTTTTATTGATTTTACACATAGAGGAATTGAGGGGGACAGAGAGTTAGAAACGTCGATGAGAGAGAAGCATCGACCAGCTGCCTCTTGCACACCCCCCACAGGGGATGTGCCCACAACCAAGGTACATGCCCTTGACGGGAATCGAACCCGGGACCCTTCAGTCCACAGGCCGACGCTCTATCCACTGAGCCAAACCGGTCTCGGCTCTTATCGATGTTTCTATCCTTCTCTAAATAAATAAATAAATAAATAAATAAATAAATAAATAAAATAAGTGAAAGAATCAGTCTCGGCTCTTATCGATGTTTCTATCCTTCTCTAAATAAATAAATAAATAAACAAATAATAAATAAATAAATAATAAAATAAGTGAAAGAATTTTTCTCTGTGCAAGTAGCACTTACCAGAAATACTCTCCAGGGAGTTCCTGTTTTCATTTCTTAACTACTGACATGCCGGTCATGTAGCCAGACAGGATGAGGAATTGTTTGGGCCCCCTTTCTCCTTTTTGTCTTTCCCTACTTTGACTAGATTGATTATGACAGAGGGACAGGAAGAGGTGGGAAATTCATTGCAGAAGACATTATATTGAGTTTGGTATATACTCTGAGGGTGGGAGCTGGGATCAATGCTTTTTTTTTTTTTTTTTTTAACTTCACAACTATATATTATGTATTTAAGTACCTTTTTTGAGATATAATTCATATACTACCTTAAAGTGTACCAGTCAGTGGTTTTTTAGTATATTCACTAAGTTCACAAAGTAAATATAACTACCATCTAATTTTAGAACATTGCACCATCTCGGAAAGAAAACCTTTACCCATTCATGGTTCTTCCCCATTTCTCCCAATCCTCCCAACCCCAGACAATCACCTGCTTTCTGACTCTATAATAGAATTGCCTGTTTTGCCCATTTCATGTAAATGGAATCATACAGTGAGTTCTTCGGTGACTGGCTTCTTTCACTTAGCATAATGTTTTCAAAGTTGATCCATATTATAGCATGGACTGGTATTTTGTTTCTTTTTATGGCTGAATAGTATTCCATTGAATGGGTATATCACATTTTGTTTGTCCATTCATCAGTTAATGGGCATTTGAGTTGTTTCTACTTTTTTACAGTTATAAATAATGCTCTTTTGAACATTTGTGTACAAATTTTTGTGGGGGTGCATTTTTTCATTTCTCTTCTGTATATACCTAAAAGTAGAATTCTTGGATCACATGATAACTCCTTGTTTTAACATTTTGAGGAACTGCCAGACTTTTCCACAGTGATGACCATTTTTTATCTGACCCACTCATTGGTTATTATCTCTTTTTTACTGTAACCATTTTATTGGGCGTGAAATGATATCTCATAGTGGTTTTGATTTCCAATTCCCTAATGACTAATGATGTTGAACATGTTTTTGTGTGTTTATTGATTATATGTATATCTTCTTTAGAAAAATGTCTTTGTATATCCTTTGCCCATTTTTAAGTTGGGTTATTGGATTTTTATTATTGAGTTGTAAGAATTCTTTACATATTCTATATACTAGACTCCTAACAGATATATGATTTAAAATATTTTCTCCCTGGGGATTGTATTTTCACTCTCTTGATAGTGTCCACAAAAGGTTTTAATTTTTATGAAATCCAATTTATTCATTTTTTCTTTTATCATTCTGCTTTTCATGTTGTGTCTAATAAACCACCACCTAGCCCAAGATCATGAAGATTTACTTCTGTTTTCTTCTATGAGGTTCATAGTTTTTGCTCTTAAATGCAGATCTTGGGTCAGTATTGAGTTATTTTTTGTGTATGATGTTAAGAGAGGGCCTATGTGAAGTTGTTCCAGCACCATTCATTGAGTAGGTTATTCTTTTCTTGTTGAATTATCTTGGCCCCTTTTTGAAAATCAGTTGAATGTAAATGGTTTATTTCTTGACTCTCAAATCCATTCCATTGATCTGCGTATCAGGATCAGTATTTTGAAAGTGCCTCAGGTGATTCCGGGTACAGTCAGTGCTGAGAACCATCTGGCTGGGGTAGAGAGTTTGGATGGTTTGATTGGCAGGGAGCACAGCGCAAGATTGCTGGAATACTTTATTACAGGCATATAGACCATCTGTTCCTAACTAAACCAATGGTTTTCAAGCTTTCCTGGTAGAAATCACCAGGAGTGCTTGTGAATAATAGCTTTCTGGCTCTTCTGCTCTGGAAAGTCAGGGCCTGGAAAAGGGTGGGAAGGGGGACTCTATGTGTGCCTGTGATTCTGGACTCTTCTACATGGACATGCCTTCCCCATCAGTTGCCAGTGGATCAGAGCCTTCAGGAACCTGTATGTTTAATGAGTTCTCCAGGTGAGTCTTATAGGCTAGACCAGCAGAAGCCTACATACTCACACCGTGGTCCTGCCACAGAATTGCTGTTCCCAAGGTACTCTTGGGGTGAAGCCATAGCTCTGTCTTAAGGGAGATGACAAGAAGCAGCCTCATGAGACTTCTTGCCATATTTACTGTGAGCACTTTCCTGGCCACCTTATTTAATATTGCCTCCTTCCGTATACACATAGATATTGTTATACCCACATTTCCTCCTCATCTGCCTTGTTTGTTATTTAAAATTTCCCTTTTCAAGAATATTTAACTTGCCTTGTCTGCTCCATTAGGTTGAAAACTTCATGTGAGAATAAATTTTTAGTTGACTGCATCATCTGTATGAAGAACAGTGCCTGACGCATTGTAGGCATATTTGTTAACGGAGTGGAAGGGGGCTGTCGAGGTTGAGGAATGAAGAGACATGTCTCTGTTTTGGCATCAGCAATAGTCACTTCTCCTTGGTTTTACTGCATGACGCTGTGAATCGTGACAGAATGTGTTTCTTTCTTTGCAGGAGCCATTCAGAGATTAATGTCACATTTATGTCCACTGTAACACGGGTGCAGGACAGGACTTATCTGTTGTGTACTAACTTCTAACATTATTTCTTTAAGCCATCTGCTTGTATTGTGTGCATTTCTATACACCACACACACACACAAATCCTCTTTGGAAACTGGTAGGCTATAGAGGAATATTATTTAATCAACTTGATGAGAATTGCTTAATTTTGGTCATTCCCCTTGATCTGAAATCAAAAGTTTGGGTTCTAGGTGGAGGAGAACTTTAAAAAAAATTAAATTCTGCCTGACTGGTATGGCTCAGTGGTTGAACACCAACCTATTAACCAGGAAGTCATAGTTTGATTCTGGTTGATTCCCTTTCAGGGCACAGGCCCGGGTTGCAGGCTCAATCCCAACTGGGGGGCGTGCAGGAGACAGCCAATCAATGGTTATCTTTCATCATTGATATATTTCTCTCTTTCTCTCCCTTCCTCTTTGAAATCAATAAAAATTTATTTAAAAAAAATCAAATTTCTCTTTCATTCTTTCCCTTTTTTATATTTTAGGATAGAATTTTTGCGGCATTTGAAGAGCTTTTTCCAGATTATGTTTAAAATCGAAACCAAGCCATGTGGTGAAGAACGCAAGGGCGGGGATAAAGTGCTGATGACCTGTGTTGGCATTGGCTTCTCCAACCTTAGCAAGACCCTCAAGTGATACTGTCACAGGATAAAAGGCCCCAACGCCTACAGACAAGCAGAAGCTGCCAAGGAGCCAGAGGGACTAAGTCCAAACAGGGCAGGATAGCCTTGGATATTAAGGCCTTTCTTCATTTTCCATTTAAAAACAATCAGAAATGCAAATTAAAGACATATTTATATCATGTGGTTTCCAGCCATTTCTCCAGTGGTATTGCCATTCCTCAGGAGGCCTGTCATGATATGCTCCCTTTGATTGCCTGGACAAAGAACAGACCTTCAGGACACAGTCACGCTGCTAGACCATCGTCACAGCTCCATGTCAACAGTGCTTCCTCAGCCCGCACCCCTGGGCTCCTGTCGTGTGGCCATTTTCCAAGCCGGTGGCATCTGTTACTGTCCTTTCTGCAAGGACTGACCTCTTTGAAACTTGGTTTCTGTGTAGGGATTAATTGAGACAACCACAGTGGAAACTCTATGAGTAATGCAGTGTTATGCAAGTTTCAGGGGGAAAAAAAAAAAAAAAGGTATATGAGACCATTTCATCCCTCATCTTCAGAATGGACTCTGCTGTCTTGGATACAGATTCTGCTCCCTGTCTGGTTCATTGTGTGTGTGGGGATGAGTGCCTGGGGGTGAGGGTGGGAGGAAGGAAGGGGTTCAATTAAAGTTTTTGGATATTTTCTCTATCTCACGTGTGCTATACATTTTCTTATTTTATTCTCATAATAACTATAATGTAGAATTTATTCTCTCCGCAAGAATATTCAAAAATGATATTTTGTTCATTTGAAATTAATAATGTTAAGACATTAGACCACCTGGCTTAAAGATCTAAGTGTAATAATGTCAGAGTCTGGAATTTTGCCTCACGTATAAGCTAGGAAGTTAGATTATTAATGTTTCATGGGTGCTAGCAGAATACATGAGAGTCCTCACTCAGAGTCAGAGAACTGTCACTCAGAGCACAGCAAGCAGCATGACTTCATGTTTGAATTGGTTCCTCCTGTTTCCCAAGTCCCACATGGTGACGGGGGCGAGGGGGTGCCCAGGAAGATGCCATTCACGCAGTGGGTTGCATCACAGGCAAGGCACACGCATGCATGGGGACTCTGCTCCTTGCTCTTGTTCAGGTGTGGACATGACTTCATCCCTCCAGGTTGCTTGCAGTGAATGCAGTTTTGAGAAGGGGGCCAGGTGAAGGCCTCCTCAGCACGAATGTGTAGGAACACTCACGGTGGCGGCTATTGCATTGGGGTTGGAAGAAGGGGGAAGATCTAATTCTTTTAGGATTCCAAGTGGTATTCCCGTCCTGGGGTGGGCTTTGAAAATATGAAAAGTCTTTGCCTCCCTAATCCTCTTGGCACCTTTTTATTTTTTAGTGAGCAAGCCTGCTGTTACGACTGAGGTGTGGGAGGATGTGGAGACGGAGGCTAACATTGAGGAAGGCCAGACCATTTTGACCTGTGCACTCTACTTGCTGAGAGCTTTCCATGCCGTATTCGTTTCTGTTGCTGCACACCGCAAACTTAGCAGCTTAAAACAATAACCCATTTATCATCTCACAGTTCTGGAGATTGGCGGTCCTGGAGGTTTCTCTGCTTAGGGTCTCACGGCTGATGTCAAGGTATCAGCCAGTGCTGGGCTCTGGGAAAGAATGTGCTTCCAGGTCACTCAGCTGGCAAAATTCAGGTTGTCAGACTTGAGGTCCTCTTTTCTGGCTGGTTGACGCCAACTCTCAACTTACGGAGACTGTGCCCTTTTCTCATAACTTGGTTCGCCCAGTCTTCAAGCCAGCAACGGTGCCTCAAACCCTCCTGTTGCATCAGATCCTTCACATGCTTTGAATCTAACTTCCTCTTGTACAGGCTGAGAAAAACATTCCTTTTAAATGATTCATATCACAGTACCCTCTGGATAACCTTCCTATCTTCAGGTCATCCGGTCATAGCATACCTAGATTAGTGTCTGACTGGCCAGGGGATGGGAATCTGTCCACCATCTGATAATTTGCATACTACACATGCTGAAGTCCTATTTAGTGCTGCTGATATTTGAACCCAGATCTTCCAGTGTTTGGATACAAAACTAAGGGGCTGCATGCCAAATACTCCTCCAGAGCCTTCCTCCATAGAAGAAGCTGTGGCAATGATACTGTTGGCCAATTTAGGGTGTCATAAGGACTCCAGGCAGTCCATTGCAAGCAGTAGAAGGAGCGTGTACCCCTGTCTGCGGTAAACACAGAAGTGTCTGTTGGTTTCCAGCCTTTCATCTGGCACAGCTGCTTTTGGAGTGGCAATATCTGGCAGTAGTGGTGGTGGTATAGCCGCAAAAGAGGACACATTTAATATTTAAACAGCCTGCTCCCAGCCCTTTTCTCAAATGCCCAAGAGAAGCAGCACCACTCTTGGGAAGAAGCCATCCCATAATTGTTACATCTTAGTGACAATCAGCTCCTGTGGCCTCAGCCTTGTTCTTAGCTTAGCTCCTGATTGGTCCAGCTACCTTGGGGTAGTTTGATGAGAGATTCCAGCATTTGGGGCTTGGTTTTCTGCCTTGGCTTATCTGCTCCCTTGTCAGAGATAGACCACTCTGAGATAGACCTTCAATGAGACCAGTGATAATGTTTTTTTTGTTGGTTTGTTTGTTTGTTTTGTTTTGTTTTTAAGCATAACCTTACTGAGGTCATGGGAGAATCATTGCCTTTACCTTCCTGTCATTTACAGAGGCCCTGCTTTGCTTTTTGACACCTTTCAACTACGTTCTGTGTAAACACCAGCTAGCCCCCCTCCATCATCATGATTATGTTGCCATATTCATCAAGACAGTTGATAAGGGGTGGAGGGAGCGAGGATATTGCAACATGCCATGCTGATGGGGAAAGAGCAACAGGAGACTCTGTGGAAATCCAAATTACCGTCATAAGGCAGCTAAGCCTCATGTGGTTTTGTTTTGTTTTGTTTTTTATCTTTTCTGATAAAAAGTGGTGAAGGACATCACCGATTGCAGATCCAACCAAAAAAACCTCAAAACTTGAGTTGCAGCGTGACCCTGTTCTCTCAGTCCCTCTGCACCTGGAGACCAGGAGGTGGCCACTTTCCATTAGGTCGTTGGTGTTGGGAGGCTCCCAGGAGAGGCCAAAGGCGACTGAGGGGAAGAGTGGAGGGTGCAAAGGGCAGTGAAGGATTTAGGCAGGATGAATTGGAGGAGGCTTGAAGAAGCGGGTAAAACCAAAGGCACATGGAGAAAAGGAGACAGCAAGGAACTAAATTACCAATGTTGGCTGTGCCCAAGGGATTCACCTGGGTGGGATGCGGGGACCAAGGCAGGGTGAAGAAGTGGATTTGTTGGGGGCCTTGGTCATGGTCAGGGGATTAGAATGTGCAATTCCATTGAGTTTCCCTGCTGGTTCTTAGCTGGAGAGCTGTAGAGGTGCCCATGGGCAATGTTAGCCAGTCTGTGATGAGTGGAAAGCAGTACGACAGCTGTGTGCTCAGCCTGGGTTTCCATTATTCCTTATCTGGCTCCAGAGTGGATGAGAAGTAGTGACCTGGGCTTAGAGTGTCCTTGTGCAGAGAACTCTGGCCCGTGTTTGGAAATGACGAACAGTTCAAGGGAGTGCCAGTAGCTGCCAGGTCTTTGCGTGGTCCTGGTGGGCTACCTCTAAGAAGCCATTTGAGTGGGACAGTTGATCAATGTTTGGCATCACTCCTTTACTTACAAGCAAATAAAAACTCATTTTGTCAGGTGCTGCCTGGGTTGGAGACTGCTTTAATGCTCTGTCACATTTGGCCCATACCTATGAGAGAGACTGACACCACGCCTGAGGCAGGCGCCTCTGGCAGCACCTGTTGATGGGCCCGGGCAGGGTTTACTCCTCCTCCTGGTCCTGATGTTAGTGGCTCTGGGTGTGCCCCCTGCTCTGCTGAGACCTCTCTGTGGGGCCTGCAGGGAAGGTGATGGGCATCTTGGGAGTAAGTGAGGCTCAGCTTGCTTTTCGCCCCAGCTCAGCTCCTAACCAGCTGTGTCAGCCTTCAATAATTCACTTCTCCACTCTTGGGTGTCCTCTGTGGAATCGGGGGAGATGTAGGTGATGGTCAGAGAAATCGGGAAAATGCCCTCTTGCCTCTTCTACCCCTCCCCTATTCTTACAGGTTTATTTGGGGTGGCAGGAAGGTTGGTTGCATTGGATAACTTTTTTAAACGTTGAGATGTTTTCTCTGAGTTCTCCGGGCCCTCTTTATTTCTGTGTTTCCACCTGAATCCTAACCCCCTAAATATCTTTACATCTCAAAATATTCAGATTGATTTTAACACTTTCTGCTACGATTTAGGAACTGTGTATTCAAATGGATGCAAGCAGGTGACTTTCTAGAAATCAGAGGCCAAATTAAAGACGAAGGAAAATGAACCAGCCCTGCCGGGACCGGTTTAGCTCAATGGATAGAGCGTCGGCTTGGGGACTGAAGGGACCCGGGTTCGATTCCGGTCAAGGGCATGTACCTTGGTTGCGGGCATATCCCCAGTAGGGGGTGTGCAAGAGGCAACTGATCGATGACTCTCTCTCATCGATGTTTCTAACTATCTCTCTCCCTTCCTCTCTGTACAAAATCAATAAAATATATTAAAAAAAGAAAAAAAAAAGAAAAGAAAATGAACCAGCCCAACAATAATACACATGACAGCTTCACGTGTCCAGTCTGTGAATACTCTATTGCCAGAACCTTGAGAGTGGGACTGCCACTGGGCTCTTGAGGTCCTTTGGCAACTTGTCTCTGCTTTAGGAGTGAGGGTGTTTCCAAGGAAGGAAAATGGTAGAGATGGCTGCCTCTTCCTGCTGCAGCTGGGAGTGGTCAGGCATTCGGAAGCCCTTCCTGGTCTTTAAGGAAAGATATTCGTGGGGACCTTATATTTTGAAATGGTGCCTGGCTTGCTACATGTGGAGATCCAGTATCGGGGTCACGACAGCTGACCTCGGGCTATTTTGAGTGCTGAGTGCACTTGGTTCCCGGACCTTCTCGCATAGTTCCGACCTCTGCTATTTTATCTGTTAGGCAATTAAAGCCATCGTGCCTGAGATCTGTAAACTTTTGAAAAACCAGTGAAAATGTTTTCAAAAAACAGACATAGGGAAAGCAACACTCGTTCCAAATTATGCAAGGAAAAGAGCAAACATTGTAAAATATTCTCAAAATGAAACAATTCTCACCTTGTTAGAATATTAAAAACAATTCTCACCTTGTTAGAATATTAAAAACAATAGAGACTTTTTTTCTTTTTTAAAAAATATATTTCATTGATTTTTAACGGAGAGGAAAAGAGAGGGATAGAGAGTTAGAAACATCGATGAGAAACATCAATCAGCTGCCTCCTGCACACTTCCTACTGGGTACATGCCTGCAACCAAGGTACATGCTCTTGCCCAGAATCGAACCTGGGACCCTTGAGTCAGCAGGCCGACGCTCTATCCATTGAGCCAAACCAGTTAGGGCTGAGGCTTTTTTTCT